AAGAAACTAATTAGACCCATGCAAGCCATTTGTCTCTAGGAAGTGACATTTAGTTTTCCCTGGAAGTCCCCAGATTAAGTGGTTTTGCAAAATGCTCAGGTGGAGGATGGATTTTTCAGTGTGGGGAGAGAAAAACTAAGTCAAGCTAATTATGGAAATTTCTGTTGATGCCATTTCAGTGCCAGGCCCTGGGCTAGGGGCTGTGGGGACCCAGCCCCTCATGTTAAAGACTTTGGGGCAGGACCAGAGGCATGAGATGAGTCCAGAGGAGGCCAGTTTTGAGGGAAAGGCCACTGAGCTGGGGGAGGGGAGATCTTGTCTGGACAGAACAGTAGGGGTAGGCTTCATGGAGGAGGTGGGTGCATTGAGCTTGGAAGGATGGGTTAGGTTTACCAAGGAGTCTGCCCTTGGGGGTAGGGGTGAGAGTGGGGACTGGGCACAGACACCACCTGGACCTACCCTGTCCCACTGTTGGTACAGTTGAGTGTGGAGCTGCCATTTTTGCCTGCATCCTGGAACAGGTTGCTAAGTGTGTTTAAGAGAATTATGCCCCGTGCCTCACCATGTCGCAGGGAGCAGGGGATGAAGATGGGGTGGCGTCTGGTTCAGGCTCCATAAGTCTCTACATCCATTCTGGATTGGAAAGGAGCAGGTGGGCATGGTCAGTGAGAATCTGTTGTCCATGCCACTTTTGAATCCACATATGTGTATATATATCTGTGTGCACACATGTTTATCTACATGTATACACATATATTATCAGCCCAAGCATATGCCCTGTCTGTATCAACATGCTTATAAGCATATGTTCGTATGTGTACATACATTTGTGTGCATGTGCAGGTGTGTACAGTTGAGTGCCCATCTCTGTCTGAGGTGCTAGTGCCTGTGTCTGGGCATGTGTGGCTATGACCATGCTCATGCACGTACCTCTGGGAGCCACGAGTCCCTGTCTGCAGACCTGTGGCCACAGGCATGTATATGAACGTGAGCCTGCAATGCCTGTTGCTGTGTATGCGTGTGCACACATGTCTTTTGTGCCCCGTGGTCTCTCAGGGCTCATCCGACTGCAGGAGCTCATCATGGCCCCTTCGAGATACAACATCCGCCTGAAGATCCGCCAGCTGCCCCTGGACTCTGACGACTCACGCCCGCTGCTCAAGGAGATGAAGCGAGGCCGGGAATTCCGCATCATCTTCGACTGCAGCCACACCATGGCTGCCCAGATCCTCAAGCAGGTGCGTGAGCGCTGGCCAGGGGATGGCTACCCCCTTCCCCAACACTCCTTCCCCAAATACAGGCGTGATATCAGCCAGATCGCAGTTTGACCCCCAGTCTGCCTCTTGCTGGCTGTATGGGCCGCTCTGAGCTGCTGTTTCACCAGCAGCAAAATGGACGCAGGGGTCTTTACGTCCGACTTGGTGTGAGGATGGACTGTGACGATGGATGAGGAGCCACAGGGTGGCACATGAAGGGTCCAGAGTAAATGCTGCTTTCCGGGCCACCTCTGTGCCGGTGGGAGGCCCGGGCTGCAGCGAGGGGCCTGAAGCCTCACCGGACAGAACCCTTCAGGAAGCACCGAGACCTCGGGTCTCGGGAACAGCCCCCAGAGCGCCTCACTGCCTCTTCCCGAGACTGATCCCCATAGCCCGGCATTGGTGTTGCTCTCCCATAACTAGGTTTATCGAGGCTCCTCCAACCGTCTGCTCAGCTCTGCAGTGACGGTGGGGAGGAGATTGGCTCCCAGTCCTGCATGGGCGCCTGGTGCTGGACACAGCCCGGTGTGGCATGCTGGGAAGGAGAGCCAAGCTCTGCCAGACCTCCAAAGAAAGAAACACAAGTTGCCCATAACCCCTCTGAGGGTGCCCCAGGGACACCAAAACACTCTGATTGGAGCCAGTGCTTTGTGGAAAGGGCAATGATGGGGTCCCAGAAAGCATCCCTGGTGATTACAGGACATATTCTGGAGGTTCTGACACATGACGCCTCGACAGGCAGTGGGGAGGGAGGAGACACGGAGGACAGGGGGAGGAGGTGCTGAGCAGGGCCTGGGAGTAGTTCAAGGACTGGGCTGGGGGCCTACATGCCACCCTTCCGTTGGGCCCACAGGGGTGCTCAAGCGAATGGCCGCCTCTGCCTTCCCCTGAGGAGGCCCCACCCCAGCCTCCTTCACCTGGTGGTGAAAAAGCTCATTGGAGAATCTGAATCTTTCTCCTGCCCAGAGCAAGCGGCCTGGTCATCCCCTCCTCTGTGGGTGGAGCGAGTGGTCCCTGCCGCACAGGGTCATGGAGGGTTCAGCGAGATGAGGTAGGGAAGGGCTCATCCCGGTGCCGTCTCATGGTCAGCACTGGTGGGGGCATCTTTAAAGCCGCCGTCTAGGAGACACCACTCCCCAGAAGCCCCTTAACCCCCACTCTCCCAGCCATCTGTGCCCAGGGCGCCCCTTCTCCTCCCGGAGTGTGCAGCAATAATGACAGTTGTGACTTTGGTTTACCAAGGAGTCACTCTGAGCCAATACCCATAGCTCCTCCGCCTGTTCCGCCACCCTGGGAAGTGGGGTCGGTTGTTGTACCCAGTACACAGGTGAGGAAACTGAGGCTCCCAGGAAGGCCGTGGGCCCTCGGTCACCCAGCCTGCATGTCCAAACTCACTCCCAGGTCCGTCCAGCTTGAAAACGTCTGTAATTTAAAATGAAGATTCTGGGCTCCGCTGAGCACTGAGCTAAACAAAGATAAGCGTGGCTGCCCACTGAGGACTTCTCAGAGCCTTTACCCTGTGGGTGTGGGTTGTACATCCCTAAGAGGGGGCGAGCGTGGGTGGCATTTTCTAAGTGGACTTGACCAGTGACCGTCTTCGCTCAGGGCACTTTGTGGGCCAGCAGCCCGAAGCGCTCCATAGAAAATGCATTACGATCATTAGTGTTATAGATCACAGGCTTCTCATAAAATACATGCAATGTATATACTGTAGACTTCACAGTGGCGTGGAGTCATTCCACAGCAGCCACGTGGCCTGCTCTGTGGTCAGCCCTTCCTGGGAGGAGGAGGAGTAGCAGGAGGAGAAGGAGGAGGAGAAGGAGGAAGAGGAGGAGGGGGAGGGGGAGGATGACAACAGACCCTCCTCCGGGGCCAGCAGGGCTGCTGGTGGCGGGGCACCTGGACACCTCTCTCCAGAGTTGTGGTGCTGGCCTCAGCCGAGGGCAGTCAGGGCACTTGAAAAGGTGTCTTGGATCATGTGCCGGCCCAGAGATGCTTCCCACAAAGACAGACCACCAGGCCCCGCCCCGCCTGTGGAATCTGGAATCTTTAGAGAGTGTGGCCCGAGAGTGTGCATTTTAATCTGGCCCTGGTGGCTTTGCTGCTCACTCCCGGGTGAAATCCACCGCTGTCTGCCAGCCAGTCATGCTTACGGTGTGGAGGGGTCTCAGGGAATATCACTCCGGTGGCCAGCCTCCCCCAGGCCATGGCCAGGCTGTCCCCTGCCCAGTCCTCTCCCCGGGGGTCGGGGGTTGGGGGGGGGGTGCTGCTCAGGTGTCCCTGAAGGTGCTGACGTTCTGCTTCCCCACAGGCCATGGCCATGGGCATGATGACCGAGTACTACCACTTCATATTCACCACTCTGGTAACGTACCTCTGGGCCCTGGCGTGGGTCGGGGTGGGGCTCCCTCGGAACAAGGTCAGCCCAGTGCAGCTCGAGGAGGTCCAGGCTGGAGCTGCCTTGCTAAGGCTGTAGGTGTGGCCCCAGGTGAGGGTACAAAGATGTCTCAGTGGCCCGCCCACTTGGAGAAGTGACATTACATGGAGAAGTGACATTACATTTGACGAAGGGGGGCGGGGGCTCTAGAACCTGCCAGCGTGAACAGAAACCCCTCTGCTTATTGGCCGTGAGACTCTGGGAAAGTCATCTAACCTCCCTGCCTCAGTTTCTTCCTCTGCAAAATGGGCATAGTAATGGCTTCTACCTCCAAGGATGGTTGTGAGGACCCAGTGAGTTAATAAAGTAAATCTGAGAGCAGTGCCGGGCATGAAAGAGCTAGAGGAATGCTAGCTCTCATTATGCTGACCCTCAGCTCCTAGCCCACCCTTCCCCACGCAGGTCTCAGGCCTCTAGAAATGACAAGCATGGCCACTTTGGATTCCTATAGCAACCATGCCAGAGTCTGCCCGCGCACTGTCAGCCAGGCCAGCCCACCTGCGGGCTCCAGATGGGTCCTGTCCAAACTCTGAGAACATTTAGGGCCATTTAAACCCATTAGGATAATTAGCTGTGGTCTGAGATCAGCAGAATAAAGCGATCCCTGTGCCAAAGGGGCACCAACACCCAGACACCCGGCCTTGGGTGCAGACGCCTTCTGACCTTACGGGCTTGGGATGGACTCTCCCACCCAGCCCAGGTCTGGGGTGAGGGACAGCGCTCTCACCACCCTGCTGCTGGAACAAGCTCACGCAGTCTGCATCCGCCTTGCCGCCACAGCCCGGCGGGCCTCCCACTGCGCTCCTTCATCCATCCAGCACCCGGCCTGCGCTCAGCTGAGTAGCTCAAGATGACTGGCACTGAGGCCCTGCCCTCAAGGAGCTCCCATCCTGTCCGGTCTGTGCCTCTATGTCCAGCTCAAAGAGCAGGCCTGTGCCATCACAGGCCTGGACAGATGCCCGTGGGGCACAGTGGAAAGAGATGCCCGATGCTGAGGGCCTAGTGGGAGGTGGAAAATGTGATGCAGGCTTTACTGGAAAGGAGATGCTAGAACTGGGCCTCGAAGGATCAGTGGGAGTTTACCAAGGAAAAGCAGGAAGGGTATGCCACATAGAGGGAACGGCATAGGCAAAGGCTAAGGGGCAGATTAGCTCCTCAGTGGAGTGCTGGAGCTGGCGCGCTCTGGCTGATTGAGAGAGCTGACTGTGTTCATCTCTTCCCAACTCCACGCTTAGTAATATCACATAGACGGCTTGAAATTGGCCATTGTGGGAGCATTCATACTACGGAAGTTGGCAAAAGCTACAAGTAAGGGTTTTTTACCCCCTCTCCCCTGAGAGCTGGTTATTAAGCATTTACCAGCACACCACTCTTGTCACCCTCCCTCCACCCCCACCCACTGCACCCCATACCTAAGGCAGAGGCCTGGAGCCATTCTGCTCCTTCTGATCTGTAGCTCAGACCCGGGGACCTGCCAGGGTGGTGTAAGGATAAGGGAACCCCCAAGCTGGTGGCTGAGAACAGGCACCTTCTTCCCCTAGTCCCTGGATTCCATGCCCCATTCACCTCTATACGTCCAGTGCCCACATAGCGCCTGGTACATACTAGGTGCTCACGAAAGTCTGAATGAATGACTACAATACCAAGTAGCAAGTAAGCAGTGAAATTATCAATATCTCCATCACAACAACAGTTAAGACCTGGACTCTGGGGCCAGTCTGTCTGCCTGAGTTATAATTGAGATTCTTTCGTTTCACCTCTCTGTGCCTCGTTTCCCCTGCTATGAAAGTACGCAGTCACAGTACTGCCCATAGGATGGCTATGCTGAGCATTCAATACGTTGACATCAGTAAAGCACTTAGAAAAGTGCTTGGCATTTAGTCTCCTGTATGAGTTAAATCAATTAATTAAATAAAACTCCTGCTTATGTTTTCTGTGTACTCAGCATACTTCATCTCATCCAAATCCAATTCTTCCAGGGAGGTCTGGCTCCCCCAGTTTTACAGAAACATAGAAACTGAGGCTCAGGGAGGTCGCTCAGCGAGAAAGGGGTGGAGCAAGGATAGTTTCCAGCTGGGAGTGCCCAGCTCCATGCGCTCCGCTGAAGCCTGTGAGCTGAGAGCCTGCAGGAATGTTGCCCGGCCTCTGGCGGGCTCGGATTCCACGTGGCTGGCTGTGATGGTCCAGGCCTGATGATTGACACTAATAGGAGTAACGGAGCCTCCACAAATCCCAGCAGCACCCACACGTCACAGGTTCCCGAGCCCTTTCTCCACATCACTGATTTCCCTTTTCACAGAGCAGAGTTTGCGCTCCCTGTTGATTGATGGGAAAACCTGGGACCAGAGAGGTTGAGTGATCTGCCCAGAATCTCACAGCAAATCAGTGACAGAGGCCTGGGCTCCTGACTTCCGGTCTAGCCCATGGCTGTTCCACCCACTGCCCCTCCTCCCCACGCCCCTCTGAGAGCTCAGGAGAACAGACCGCGCCAGGGAGGCACAGCCCCCCGCTGTACAAATAGTTCTGCAGTGGAGTATGTCGGGGAGAGGGGAGCTTCCAGGGTGTCTCCCAGCAGCCCCCCACGTGCCAGGGCATCGGCTGTGTCCCCTGGGTCCTCTCCCCCTGCCCGTGCCCTGCTTCCAGCTCCAACTCCAGGACCCTCCTTGCAGCCCTGTTGGATGAAGTGTTGCCCTGGTGGCTCCGCCTCTGCCCAGCGGTCAGTCATGGCTGTATCGGAACAGCAGTGGCACTTGGCATATATCCCCTTCCCGTTAGAAAACCCATGTCACCAGCTCTGCATCTCTAAAAAAAAACCTCCCAACTTGCTTCTCCCCCGCAGAAGACGGTTCAATTACCCCAGCTGCCATTATCTGTCCCAGCCAGCTTTGAGGCATTCCCAGATAACCCCGCGTTCACCAGCCCCAGCTGAGCCCCTGGTACATGGCATGTGGAGGTAAAAGCCTGGAGGTGAAGAAAGAATTATAATAAATTAATAGATAAGCAATCACAATTAATGCCACTTCCCTGCAATAACAGTTATATCACGGGGAAGATATTTTCATCTGTCGTTCCTTAAGGCGATGTTTTCCGAGCTTCAGCTTCCACCCAGTCAGACCCATGGGGTGCTAATGAATTAGCCTATTATGTTATGCTGAATGTTTCTAAAAGGTCCCTCGTCGATACTGAATTCAGTGTGTCAACATTTGGCACGGAGAACAGCAACTTTTTGCCAAGCAGCAAGGTTGTGCACGGTTCGCTGTGTACAGCACTTGGGGTCTCAGCCTGGGGCAGTTTGGATCCAAACGTTGGAGCTGGACAGAGAGGCCTCTTTACCAGTGTCCTGTTGTCCCTGCCTGCGGGTCACAGGGAAGGCACATTTGGTGCCCCGAGCCCCACAGCACTTTGCAGCTAAGCCCAGGCTTGAGGGGACAGGAGGAAGGTGACCCCAGCACTGCAGCTCCCTCGTGCCCCCTCCCAGCCTCTGTGTAGGCATCACCAGGACGAAGGCTGCAGCTGGAGACCGGAAGAGCTGTTGTCACCAGCACGCCAGCAGCCACCGGAGCCAGAGATGCACCCTTTCCATGGGGTCCAGCTGTCCTCTGGTTCTAGAGGAGGGAGGACCAGTCACAGAGACCCCCGGCAGGCTAGTGCTCTGGCATCATTCAGGCCTTACTGTCAGGTCCACACTGAATTGGACAAGACACAGGCTGAGCCTGTGCAGGGGCAGAGCGAGGAGGGCGCCCCCTGGGGGCAGAGCTCAGCTTCTCTTCCGTGGCCCCAGCAGTTCAGCTCTGGCCCCAGACTTGCAGACACCCCTTGCAAAACAAAATCCCTCCATCTTCCTGACCCACTTCCTTCAAAAGTGGTTCAGGTAAGATCTCTTGTTTCTGAAGCAAGCCCCTGGATGGTCTCGTCCTCCACCCCAGTGACTTACCAAACCACGCCTAACGTCCGGCCCCAGAGGGGCTCCCCCGAGAGGAGGATGGGAAGCACTAGTCTCTCCACCTCGGGCTCTTCCCAGTGATGATTTGTTCCCCGGAGAGGTGTGAATCTTACTTCCACTTCGGTTGACAAGAGTATTTGGCTCAAGGGCTCATTGGGGAGACAGACATAGACAGTTGTTTTCAGTGGGGTGACATCCAGAGGCCCCAGGAGAAGAGCAGCAGCACCTCTGACCTGCCTGACCGTATGTGTGTAGAGGAGCAGTCAGGGAGGCCAATAGGAAGCTACCAGTGCGATGCCCCCGAACACAGAGTCGGGAGAAGTGCTAACAATCAGCTCTCACAGCCACAGCCAGGGTGAGCCAGCTCCATCACGCCCTGGGGACAGACCTGGGTACACATTCTGTTCGCCTTTTTGAGCTTTATGACCTTAGGAAGCTCCCCTCACCCCTCTGGACTTGTTTCCTCATCGTATAGAGGGAATACTATTGAGTGCCCACTTCACAGGTGACTGTGGAGATTCACTGACAGCCCGGCCAGCGTGGATCAGTGGTTGAGTGTCAATCTATGGACCAGGAGGTCATGGTTCCATTCCCAGTCAGGGCACATGCCCAAGTTACCAGCTTGATCCCCAGTGTGGGGTGTGCAGGAGGCAGCCAATCGATGATTCTCATCATTGGTGGTTCTATCTCTCTCTCCCTCTCCCTTCCTCTCTGAAATCAATAAAAATATACTTTTTTAAAATATTTTTAAAAAGATTTGATGATATACTCCAGTGCAGGACTGAGCATAGTGAGCACCCTCCATTTTCACGGATATAAAGGCCATATGGACACCCTCTGGCCAGTTCAGTCGCCATCTCCCATCTGTTCAACACCCTGCATCCTGCTCCAACCCAGCCCCTTCCCCAGCCCCCATCCTGGCCTAGAATCAGGGCCATATTTGTTTCAGCAAAGCTGGGACTACACTGTCTAAGCCTCTCCCCTGCTCCCTAAACCTTCCAAGAGGAAATTAACACAATGCCTTCCAGAAAGAGGCCATTGGCGAGGGGGGGGGGCGGGGCAGACAGAATGAGTTTAGCATCGATTAGGAAGATCTCAGAGACCCTAGGCAGCCAGCACAGTGTGAGAGCTGCTCCGTGGCTCTGAGTTGTATCACTCATCGTCTTCCCTGAGCCATCATCCCCTTAACCAGAGCTGGGGCCGTGACGGGGCTGGGTGCTCCCCCCGATGTCTGTACCACGGAGAGGCTTGGCCAGGGTCCCAACCACCCTCCCAGCATGGGATGGAGCGACTAAGCCCGAGGACCCACGAGCGAGGACAGCGAGGGGAGAGTGTGGGGAAGAATAGACAGTAGATGAGGAGGAGCTCAGACAATGACCTTTAGACTCGGTTTGCCCACCAGTGGGATGGGACCAACCTCGAGTGTCAAAGTCTATTTTTTCAAACAGTTAAAAACACAGACTATGGAATGAAACATGTGGCAAAGATGGAATCCACTTGTTAACAAGGGCAGCAGGAGGATGGCAATGTTGGCTCAAAGAGCATGTGAGGGGCTGAGTGCTTAGGTACTTGATGAGAAAAAACAGAATACGGCTGCTAGGTTAGATACAAAACGGATTAACGTCCTGCAGGGCCATAAAACCACAACCGTGGCGATGATCCTTTTTATGGACAGAAACCTACAAGTGAACCCAGAGTCTGGGCCTTGAACCAGTAGCTGAGAGTGAAGGCAACCCCAGGTGTGTTCGGGAGAATCACACAATCCCAGGGGGCAATAAACCATGTTTCCATGCTGCTCTCCTGCCTTATTTCCAAGTTTGGGGTAAGTTTTTGCTCTGAGAACAGAGTACTGCTCTGCTCCTCATGCTACCACCCCCCAAACACCTCCTCTTTTCAGCTAAACACCCGACTTCTCCCTCTGTGTCTACACCCTCTTCCCGGAGCTGGGCTGCCCCATGCGTTCAGGCCTGTTTTCCTGGCCCTTAGGCGAGGGCCTGCCCATGCACCTGGACGTGACCTGGCCCCCAGACAGACAGGCTGGCCACCCTCACTGCTCCCAGGAGGCAGGGGTGAGGATGGAGCCTGTGCTGTGGGGGGCCGGGGAGAGAAGAGGGCAAGGGCAGCTGTACCCTGAGTCCCCGGCAGGAGACTTTTAAAATACTCTCCTTTGGGGAATAAAATCCTTCCTTCAGCCTCACTCAGGGTAACGTGGAGGTACCCGGACCCAGCAGCACGAAGTGGGCCTCCCCGTGGGAGGAAATGACCATCCTGACTGTCATCAGCTATTTTTGGAGGTCGGGCATTGGGCCTGAACAGCTGCACCACATCCTATAAAGGAGGCAGATGAAGAAATAGTCAGAGCGGCTTGCTCGAGACCCAGCAGTGAACACGTGGGGTTGGCCACCAGGCAGACAGGTTCCTGTCGACTCCAAGTACAGTGCTCCCATGGGGCCCCCTCACCCCTGGCCTCCCCTCCCCGGGCCCTGCAGGGAGCTGCAGCGAGGGCTCTGGGGGGCAGCAGGGAGCATGGGCAGTGGGCTGGAGCTCACGGTGGACACACCTTTATTTCCACGAACCTCTCTCTGTCAGGATCTTTATGCGCTAGACCTGGAGCCCTACCGCTACTCGGGGGTGAATCTGACAGGGTTCCGGATCCTCAATGTGGACAACCCCCATGTCTCGGCCATCGTGGAGAAGTGGTCCATGGAGCGGCTACAGGCAGCCCCCCGGGCCGAGTCCGGGCTGCTGGATGGAGTGATGATGGTACAGCAGCAGGGGGGCTAGACCCAGGCTCCCCTTTCCCTTCGTCTTTCTCCCTCCCTCGTTTTCTTCCTCCTTCTCATCCCTCCTTCCACCTCTCCCCTCCCTGTTTCTCACTTCCCTCCTACCAATCCCCTTCTTAGGTCAGCAGGACCTTAGGCTAGGGGCCAGGACACAGGGAGCCAGACAGAGTCCATTCCAAGGTTGGGAGTACAGACAGGTCAACAGCTGGTGACAGAGCTGGAATAAGCCCAGTGGGTCCTAGGTGTGACCAGCAGAGGCTGGGGAGGAGGCGGGAAGGAGGTGGTGCGGGGGACAAGACAGCAGCAGGGCATGGGGATGGGGCAGAGGGACTGCTCAGAGCTGCAAGGGTGTCAGGTGTCTGCAGAGCAGCAGAGTCACCCAAGCCTGGCCTCTCACCAGGCGCCCCCGTGTGCCCTGGGGAGGGGGGAGGGGGGAGGAGATAAGGCAAGGGGAGTGGAGAACTCGGAAGCTGTTCTCAGGCAGGCCCTGCACCCTCCCTCCAGACCGACGCCGCCTTGCTGTATGATGCCGTGCACATCGTGTCCGTGTGCTACCAGCGGGCACCCCAGATGACCGTGAATTCCCTGCAGTGCCACCGGCACAAGGCGTGGCGCTTCGGCGGCCGCTTCATGAATTTCATCAAGGAGGTAAGTGCCCCCCACACCCCGACCAGGGCCATCTTCCCGGAGGTTGTTGGTGCTAAGAGTGGTCAAGGGCCCAGGTTTGGGAGTCAGGTTCAATGTTCAATCCACCTGAACTTGGGCAAGTTGCCTTACATCTTAGAGCCTCAGTTTCCTTGAGTGAAAATAGCCATGACAGGACCAATCTTACAGGGTGACGGAGAGGCTGTCCTTGGCACATAGTAGGCGCTCAGTGTGTGGGCAGCATTGTCAGCAGGACACAGCACGGGCTTCACGTACTACAGGTGAGGGGCTTTACCTCTGGCTGTGTGATCTTGGGCAAACGCAGGACCCGTGCTGGGCCATGGTTGTCTCATCTGTACAGCGCGGTACAGAGATGAAAGGTGACCATGTGGAAGGTGCTCCGTGCAGTGCAAAGGCAGAGGAGGCTCGGTGAATAGCAGTCAGCCCCACACACTCCTCTGTACGTCACGGGCCCACCAGCCAACTTCCCAGCCAGGGTCCCCATCGGGACCAGCTCTCCTGGCACCACGGCAACTGTGGAGAAGGCCCATCCATGGAGCTGACTCCAGGGAACCAGAGAGCAGAAGCCTGTCCTGCTGCTGAGAAGGCGGCCTGGAAACACACGGGGCCTGCTTTAAGCTCCAAGGACTCTCTCCAGCACCGCTGTCCTGTGAACGGTGGAGGGCCGTTTATTGTTCCCATTTTACAGATGGGGGAAGCTGAGGTCTGGGCTTGCACCCTGGCTCCATCCCAACTGGCTAAGTGACTTTGGCTGAGATGACCAACTCTTGGATCCTCAGTTTCCTCGGCTGTGTCCTGAAGATAGTAAGAAAGTCTACCACAAAGCGTTGTTGGGAAGACAATGGAAAGCTGCGCACAGAGCCCCCAGGCGGGGCCCAGTCAGGTCCCAGTATACGGTAGATGAAGAAGGTTTCGGGGGGGCGAGGTCTGGGCAGGGAGCTCCTGGGTCAGAGAGAGTGACCGTGTCCAGGGCAACAGCATGTGCACTTAGGGCTGTGGCTCTGTATAGACCATCCCTTTGTAGCAACCACAATGGACCAGAAATGAAGCCAGCTGCCTTGGGAGTTCATTTATTCAACAGATACCTGTGTGGCCTGCGGGGTGCCAGGCAGAGAGCTGAAGCAGATGAGCCCAGCGCTCTCAGAGCTCGCACCCAGGCAGACGTCCAGCACATCATCGCGTTCATGCCTGTATCCCTGCCCCAGGAGGAAGGCAGCGCTGTGAGGGCGAAGAGCGAAGGAAGCCACCACCCTCCTCAGTGGGCGGGGCTGCTTTCCCGGAGGCCCTTCCCTCCCTCCCTCCTGTGACTGCTTGGGATGAGGCCAGTGACAGCTCTTCCTGCATTTCAGAATGACGCTTACAGGAACGGGGATGAGACACAGGCTGGAGGGTTTGACGCGTGTGCCTGTGGAGTTTGTCTCTTCCCAGCTGTGTGGCTTTAGACAAGTTCCTAGACGTCTCCAAGCGTCAGTCCCGTCACCTGGCAAACACCTTGTCAGAGTCGTTACGAAGGAGCATGGGAGGCCTTGATGCCAGTTCCCTCGCTCCTGGAAGGGAGTCCAGTGTCCGCTGTTTTGGTACAAGAGGACCACAGTGGGCCCTTCTCATTCATCCCCTCAAAAGCAGAGGAAGTTTGATGGGCCACTGCCCTGAGCAAGGCCTGGCTGGCCCAGGCGATCATCGGCTTGTTCTCAGGACTCTCTGAGGGCTGACTCCTACCTCCCAGGCCTCCTTCCTCAGCAGGCCTCCAGCTAAGTAGCCACAGGCCAGTGTGTGATCTGCTGACTCGGGCCACCACCCTGGGACCCTTAGGAACCGTACCAAAGTGGCTTTGAAGCTTAACCACTTTTGGGCTGTGTGACCTCAGACAAGCTACTGAACCTCTCTGTGCCTCAGGTTCTCGTCTGTACAATGGAGATAATACCCGGGTGGTTGTAGGATTAAGTGAGTTACGTGTGTGTGAAGCCAGGACACCGCCTGGCATAGAGCAGTGCTGGACAGATTGCCTGCTATGACTATTGCTTCTACCATCACGACTGTCAGTGCTATAGCTTCTTGTCTCCTCATGGGTTTTTAGCTAACGAGGATCTCCAAGCCTCATAGTTTCAGGGACACCCCCCCCCCAACTCTGTTCACCCTCACTCCTTGGGATGCTTGAGGCTCAGTGGTAAAGCCCAGATGGGAGCAGAATGGCCACTGTCCACACATAGCAAGGGGAGCCCCCTTCTCCCTCCAGGGGCTGGCAGGCCCAGGGAGGTGTCCCCGGCCCCCGTTTCCTGGCCCCGGCCCAGTGAACGGCCCCGCCACTCACATCCCTTTACAGAGCCCTTTCAGAAGCATCTCTATCTTACCTGAGGTGTGGAGACCGAGGTCCAGGGCAGCCTCGGGCTGGCCCATGGTCCCACAGCTGGTCACGACCAGGCAGGTGCCCTGCCGGAGCCCAGCACAGTCTATCCTTGGACCATTTCCAAGTTGCCCGCCTCCCCATCTGACTGCATGACAGTAAATCATTTTAAAGACTTGGCATTTCCGAGAGGAGCTGGAAAATGCCAGGCCGGAGTTCAGAGCGTGTGAAGCATCTTTCATTTAGCGAGTCCGGAGCCTCGGCTGGAAGGGGTGGGGGGGAAGGGCTGCGAAATGTCACGGGGAGGAGCTGCCCGTGGCTCCCTGCCCAGGCCCTGCCCCTGCCCACCGCCCGCAGACAGGCAGTGCACCTGCTGGCACTTAATCCCTCTGGAGCTGACAAGGGGGAAGGCTCCCTCCACATGCAGGTTTGAAGGCACCTGCTGTGATTTCCCCGGGGGCCCGGAGGAAGCCTGAGGGGTGGGCGCCCGCTGGGCCGAGTGGGAGGCGGAGGGACTGGGGAGCTGGCCTGAGCCTCCCCTCGAGGTCAGACACGGTGGTCTTCTCCTTTTCTGACGCATCTCTAATCTCCATCCCCAGCCCCCTCCGGCTCCCTGGGCTCCATAAATCTCCCGTTCGCCCTGGCAGCGACGACCCATGCCCTCCAGCTCTGCCCCTGCCCCTGCAGCGGGCATCTGCACCACCATTGCTTGGGGCCTGCACAGCTCAGTCCCTCTTTGAGCCTCAGTGCCCATGACTTTAAAATGGGGGCAGGGGTGACACCCACCTGGCAGGATGGCGATGAGAACAGAACGAGCTCATGCAGAGATCAGTCCTCTGAGACGGTTTCTACTGAGGCCTCGGGCCTTAGCCCAGGGCACCCCCTGCCCCGCAGCCAAGGGCCAGCCCTAGTGGAGCTCCCACAAGGAAGCAACAAGGAGAAGTTATAGTATATACCACTTAGTCAGGACTGCATACAGTAGCCCCCCCTTATCTGCAGGGGATACGGTCCAAAACCCCTCCCCAGAGGATGCCTGAAACCGCAGACAGGATCGAGCCTACATGTACTATGCTTTCCCTATACATACTGTGATAAAGTTTAATTTGTAAATTAGGCAGTGTCATGGTAGAAGATTCGTTCTTACCATAGATCTTAGCAAACTCAGCATATAATTTTTTCCTTTCCTTAATAAGTTGAGAATGTTCACCATGTCACTTAGAGGAAGCCCTTGCCGCTTCTCTTTGGCATATCGGAATTCCCAGCATCAGCAACGCTACTCTTGCACTTTGGGGCCATTAGTAAGTAAAATAGGGTGCACTGCGGAGGCTTGACAGTAGATCTGATAACTCAGACCGCTGCTAAGTGACTAACAGGCGGGGAGTGTACACAGTGCGGATACGCTGAAGAAAGGGAGGATTTCAGGATGCTACTCAGAATGATGAGCAATTAAAAACATATGCATTGCTGCCCTAGCTGGTTTTTCTCAATGGATAGAGCATCAGCCTGTGGACCAAAGGGTCCCGGGTTCGATTCCGGCAAAAGGCACATGCCTTGGTTGCAGGCTCCTCCCCGGCTTGGGCCCTGGTCGGGGCTCGTGCAGGAGGCAACCAATCGATGTGTTTCTCTTACTTTGATGTTTCTCTATGTCTTTCCCTCTCTCTTCCACTCTCCCTAAAAATCCATGGGAAAATATCCTTGGGCGAGGAGTAACAACAAAAATCAACAACAACAAAACTTAGGAATTGTCTATTTCTGGAATTTTTCATCTAATATTTTGGGGCCGCGGGTAACTGAAACTGTGGAAAGCAAAACTGCAGATAAGTCAGGACTACTGTCTGTCAGGCCCTGTGCTAAGCACTTATTCACCTTTGAACGCCTGTGAAGTAGGTAATTTTCCCTTCCTGAAGCTCAGAGAGGGTAGAGTCCTAGCGCAAAGCCCACATTCTAACCTCTTGTTTGACAGACTCTGGGAGCCCCAGGGCTCCGGCTAATGTACCCATTTGCCTGCTGGGTGCTCATCAGGATGACTTTCTAGTGCCTTCGAGCTGCTCGGGGGCCTATGGATGCCCAAGAGTTTTCCTTTCAGATCAACAGATAGGCATCTGTGAACCCGTGAATTTGTGCGTCCAAGTGTGAGTGTAAGCAGGGTTTCAGCAGCCATTCAGCTGGGGAGAGGCTGGGCCTCTCTCGGAACCTGTAAGGGACCCTGGCCCTAGTGTGCAGTGACGAGCTCAGTGTAGCCAAGCAAGGACTCATAGTCAGACCTCCGCTCCCGTCCATGCTCTGGGCCCTCGGGGCGAGGCAGCCGCTGTGGGTTCCTCTCTCCCTGAAATCCCAGCTCACCTTTGTTCCCCAGGACTCCAGGGCGTATGGACTTGTTGTTCCCCAGACACAGAAAGCCACACATCCCAGCTTTTACCTGTGTGCCCGCTGCGTCCTAACCCCAAGGAGGAGGGAGAGGAGGAAACCCCTCCGCCTGAGGCAGGGGGGCCTGGGACCCTGCCTCCAGCTTGGCTCACCCTCTTCTCCACTCTGAGCTTGGGGCCCCTGTGGGGCTGCCTCCTCATCTGTAAAGCAGGCTCATCACCCCCAGGATTGCTGTGGAGGTGGCGTGGCGTGCACAGTGCGGAGCGCCGCGCGGAGCTAACTCTCGGGGCCCACACGTTCCCTGCGAAGGGCCAGATAGTAAATATTTAAGGCTTTGCAGGCCAGATGGTCTCTGTAGCAACTATCCAGCTCCGAAGGTGTAGCAAAAAAGCAGCCAACGACTATACATATCGGTGAACACATGTGCGAGGCCGTGAGCTAAGAAACTGTTTTCAAAAGAGGTATCGGGCAGGTGGTTTGCCCACCTCTGGTCTAGAAGATGACGCTCGTCTCAGTTCGGGTCCTGAACCTGCTCAGAACCGCTGTCTGCTTCTGTGTGAATGATGCTCATGAAAAACTACCATTTCATTCAGGCCTCAGGTTGTGCCGGACACCGTTTCACATATTTTATGGGACTCACTCATTTCACCCTCATTGCACTTTGGTGAGGTGGCTGCTATTGTTAGTTCCCTTTTATAGATGAAGAAACTGAGGCCGAGATTGCAATGAAAGGCCCAGGGTCACACAGCCAGTTGTGCTTGACTCTAGCATTCTGATGCCACAGGGTGGGGGCTGGGGTGGCTGGAGTGACCTTCTCCGTCTCCCTGGCTCTCTGGAGGCCACTACAAGAGTCTGGTCTCCCAGCCGACTTGGCCCTTGGCCTCTCTGCCTCTCAGCAGGTCTCGCCTGCCCTGCCCACCTGCCTCCCCGCCCCTCCCCGGGGATCTGACACGGGCTTCCCCTTCTCGTGGCTTCGAGGCGGGGGCTCCTGTGAGCGCGCCTGAGATCGATGTTGTACACGGGAAGGTGCAAATGTAAAGCTGGCTAAAGAGCATAATAGAATTTATGGAAATCGCTGGCTCGCACCACAGCCCGAGCAATGATGGAGGTGATTATTAATTAATCATGGTCTTGGGGGAACAGTATCAGTGCAAGGAGTAATTAAAATGAAGCATTGTACAGTTGTACCGAATGATGATTTATGAGCCCGAGGAATTGCCGCTCTGCCCTCTCCTCTCCGGCAGGCTCAATGGGAAGGATTAACTGGACGGATTGTTTTCAACAAAACCAGTGGCTTACGGACCGATTTCGATCTGGACATCATCAGTCTGAAGGAGGACGGCCTGGAGAAGGTGCGTGGGGCGCCAGAGCGGGAGGGGCGAGGCCCATCAGAGCCGCCACTTTAGGGTTGAACAGGACCCGGGGTGGCCTGTGCCTTGGCCCTTCAGAGAACACGAAGCCTTGGTCACATGAGGGATGCAGAACCCAGTGGCCTGGCCACGGCAGATACCCAAACCATTGGAGCAAGAGAGCAAGGGCCATCAGGGATGTTTAACGTAGAAAAGGGATAGAAGGCTCGTGGGGCAGACACTCTGACTCTAAGTCTCTGCAGGGCTGTGTGGGGCAGAGGGACAGACATAGCCTTGGGTAAGGGAAACTTTCTAAGGACCACAGGTGCCTGCCTGGGGAGTAGTGAGCTCACTGTCACTGGAGGCATTTAAGCAAAATTTAAGCAAAGCAATTGCTTGTCTGGGACACTGGAGGTGACTCCTACTCTTGCAGAGGGGTTGAAGCATGTGGTTTCTGGACTGCCCTAGGTTTCTGAGGCCAGTATGATTCCAGGGAGTTTGGACAAGAAAGGCAGGCCCGCCAGGGCCTGGGGACTCCCAGCTGATTGCCGTAGAAATGTCTGCAAAGGGGCCAGTTCTGATGCTGGGAATCTTCAGCACGTTCTGACATCAGGCTGCGGGACTGCGAAGTGGGATCTAACATTAGCCCCTGATTCTCAGTGTTCCCTGGACCTCGGGCCCGGAGCTCAGCCACACTCTCATCCTACTGCAGGCTGGTCCCTGGTAGCCCCAGGGCACCTCTCCAACCCTGGCAGTGGGGTGTGTAAAATGCAGGAGCAGAAGCCTGGAAGTCAGGGCCAGCTCTGGTGCCTGTGGGCCTGCAGGAGTCCCTGATTCCTCATCTCCCTGCCAGCCCTGGGTCAGGCCTCTTCCTCAGATTATTCTGACCCTCCGACTGGCTTTCTTTCCACCTCCCTCCTGAGCCCTCCAGCCATTCAAGTGTACACACAGGTGACGCTTCCCAACACACAGCTCTGCCCTGCTCTGAACCTGCCCATGCTCCCCAGTCCTGAGTCAGTAAGCTCCGCCCCTCTCCCAGCCTCTAAGGTTTTTGAAATGCCCCAGGCTTCCTCTGTAGGCCTGGTCTCCACTGTCCCCAACAGCACTCCCATGGTCCAGTCACATCCCCTCCCCCCTGCACCTCTGGCCTTCACCCCTGCCATCCACAGTCCTGGTGGCAGGAGTGGCCTCTGACTCCTGGGTTGTACCTTGTGGCCAAGGTTTACTCCATTCACTCCAGAGTTTCCCACACATTCACGGGGTCACTGTACTGGGGAGAGGTAGCCAGGGAAACGTCACCAGAACTCCGCGACTCTCTCATGCCGAATGTAGCATCTGTCCCTGAGGACGGGCTGTGGCCTCTGCTCCTCACATCTTCGAGGCCAGTTGATCATACAGAGCATATGAGCTCCCATTCAGCAGTCTTCCCGCTTCTATTCAAACTCTGCTGTGCTGGGGAGCTCCCTTCCTCCTCGGGCAGCACTATTGCAATATAGGATCCATCCAAGCAGCCATGTCATCTTTGCTCTCTCAGCCATCCATCTCTGAGGATAGCCTGAAATTCTAAGGATGGCATGCATGCCCCACTTCTCGCTCCTGTGCCAGCGGCTGGCATCAGTAACTGGTCATCAAAACCCCCTTTCCCAATGGGCCCACCACAGCGTCCTTCTACCCGCAACTGGCACAAGTTGGCCACAGCTGACACTGGAGAAGCACTCTCTGCTGCACCTGGACTGAGGTGGACCCGCAGAGGCTCCTGATCTCAGACTCCGGGCAAAGGCCCCTGCAGGCTGGGTCCTCCACGCCCCCACACCCCCCAGGCCTTACTGTCTCACATCCCCGTGGCAGCTGGTGTCTAGCAGGGCATGCCGTTGGAGCTCAATAGATGCTTCCTAGGGCACAGATTCCTGCTGTTTGGCCTCTAGACAGATGTTTGTTGAGCAGCCCCTGCACCCAGGCATGCTGCTAGGGCCCCTCATGCTGGGTTCGGGCCACTGGAGAGAAGAGCATCTTCCAGGCTGTCTCCTTGTCTCCTCTCCTCTTGCCCTGGGGGGTCTGCGAAGACAGATCCTGCCTGGAGAAGGCACTGAGCCCCCAACACAGCCACTCTGCCTCCCATACCGTCACTTCTGTGTGCTAAGCTGGGTCATAGCTGATCCAGCCAGCTCCAGCCAGTGGCTTTGGGAGGATTAAGGCAGAATTACCCGAGCATAATTACGCATCTCGCTGCTATCTTCCTGGCACAGCTCTCTTAATGGGATGTTTGCACTCAGCTTCTCTGTTTAATTGATTAAGTTTCTGAGGAACCCCCAGCTGGGCCAAGGACAGGGTGGACGTGCTGAAATCGCCCTTGAGAGAGAAGAGCTGAGATTGGGGCAGGGCAGGGCAGAGTTGGATCCAAAAGGACCTTTAAGAGGCCCTGGGCTTTAGAATGATTTGCAAACTTGATCTTCCCTTGCCTCCCTCGGGCTCAGGCCTGATAGCAACAAGGGCACTGTGTGGACAGAGATTAAGCTGCCTTGCCCAGGGTATCTGCCAATTTTGGAAATAAAACCACAAATCCCTGCAGCATCTAAGGCCCCCAGTGAGGGTCACACACTCTGTTCTGGCATCCCCCAAACAGCTACCAAGACCAGTCTCCTGCCCAGCCTGCCGTCCTGTATGTGACCCATGTCATTGTCCCTGCACTTGTTCCACAGGTACTATGAACATCTCCCTCCCTCGCTCCGGGTCCTGTCCTGGGCTCTGGAGCTGCCGCCGGGGCTGAGACCCAGTGAGAGAGCAGCTGGCTGCCTGGGTCTTCCAGGGAGGCCCACCAGGCTCCGAGTAACTGTCCCAGGGGAGGGTCTGACCTTGACCCTGACTTCCTCATGGCATCTGTTCCACCCAGGATGGTTCCCACTGAGTTCCCTCTGTGTCCACCTCTCCCTCTGCATCTCCCCTTCAGCTGTTAAGGGTTTGCCACCAAGGGGATGTGAGAGAATTCAGGAGACTCACCCACTGAGGGACCTGCTCCTGGGATGAGAGAGGCAGCAGGCAGTCAGAAAGGTTAGTTTCAAACATGTTAGCCATGGCCATGAAGAATGGGATCAGGATGATGGGCTTGTTGATGTGGGAACAGGATGGAGAAAATGAGGACTCAGCACCCTGTTCTCTGTCTGTCTGTCCATCCAGGTTGGGGTGTGGAGTCCTACCGAGGGACTCAATATCACAGAGGTCCCCAAAGGCCGAGGTCCTAATGTCACCGACTCTCTGACAAATCGGTCACTCGTCGTCACCACAGTGCTGGTAAGAGCTTGCAGCCCTTCAGGAGGGACTGTCTGGCCTGGGGGTGGGCTGGCCATCGGGGCTGGAGAGACCCCTCCATCGCCCACCCAGCATCGACAAGGCATCTCCTATGAAGCTGCTGGGGGGCTGGGAAATGGGAGGGTTACTAGAAAGTGGACACATTCAGGGTTGCTCGAAACAGCCCTCTGTGGGTGGTTGGAACACAGCAGCCCTGCTCAGGGCCACAGGCCAGAGGCCTCCTCCCAAAGCCAGAGCACTTGGCCCTCAAGCCTGCCTGAGACCTGGTGGCCAGGCCTGCAGAGGCCTGTGTGTTTACATCTCACCCACCCACTCCCTGAGCCCTGAAGTCTGAGTAGAAGGAGTGGAAGAAAGGAAGTTGACCTGATGTCTGAACCAGGACTCGGGTCTACCTCTTCCACCTCAGTCCCCTGAGCAAAGGCCCTCCCACTGGTCTCCCCTGCCCTATTGCTCTTGGCAACAGTCACTCTACCTGCCGTCCTCCCTCCATTCCCAGACTGAATAGTGCCACCTTCTGATCATTTCAACCCAAGGAGTGGCTTTGGGCATCTGCTGGGGTCTCTGTACTCTGGAGCTCAGCCTCTAGCGTGACCAGAGGCTCAGGACCCACCCTCTCAGGACACAGAACTGCTCTGGGGGCCCACACCGGGCCATGGTGGGGGGAGGCAGCCCAGGCACAGCCTGGTGGATTCTGACCAAAGAGCCTTTGAGGACAATTCTCGCTCTGGTCAGCTTCTCTTTATAATAAAGCCAGATGTTTACAAGGGCCATGTGGTAAGATCATTCTCTATAAAACAAACCAATAAAAGTGCTCTGTTTAGAGTGCATAGATACAGTAAGGCTGCACTCCATACTGGTCCTTCCACAGTGCTTGTGCAGGCTGGCCACACCCACCTCCCATCAGAGGCAGCTCAGCCCCACTGGATGGTGCTATGTCCTCCCTCTGGTGGGATTCACCTGCAATGTGCTTGGTAGCTGGGTGGTGTGTACCACAGAGCGGGAAAGGATGTAAACCCCATCCTCCCAGGAGGCCCAGTGAGCAGCAGACACCAGGGGTACCATCGGCTTCTAGGGAGCAATTGCGGCCTGTGGGTCTCAGTCCCGGTCTCCGGGGTTATGACTGAGAGGATCCATGTTAAGGTGACAGGGACCTAACAGGGGTTCTGGACAGGCCACTGAGCCAGAACGAGAGGACTGGGGAGACACCTACTCCCACCAATTTGGGGTGAGGCCCCCCTGGCATCTTCTTCTGACACCTGTATTTCCTGGCTGCCTGCCTTTACTGATCGACTTCTTGTTAACTAAAAAATATGTAAAAATTAGACTTTAAAACCAGTAAGTCCCAAGGTCTCATTAGGAACAGGGGAAATTTTGTTAAAAAGAAAAAATACACAAAACTCTAAAAGATTAAAAAGAGCAAAGAGATTAGAGTGAAAACTGATGAGCAATTAAAGGAATACTGATGTGGATAAAAATATAAAAAATAAAAGGAGATTGGAAAGAGAACAAAATAAAAAGGTTAAAAGGAAAATAGTAAAGAGAAAAATGAAAAGGAACGCTATCAAGGAAGATGAAAAGGGGAAATAAATAATTAACACTCCAGCTAGACATGGTAAGAAATGTAAATCCCGAATGTCAGGAAGCAAAAGGATAAAAGTGTGACAAAGCTAAAATATAAAAGGGTAAAAATGAAATAATAAGAAAGTGGTAAAAGATTAAAAGCAGAGCTGCATGGAACGTGAGCTATCAATAAATAAGGCTCTTTTCACACGACAAGATTAAAAAAGGTGAAACTAGTATTGCTTTGAGAAATTAGGAGAGGTGATAAATGAGCTAAGATGACTCAGGCTCAAAACAATATTCTAGCAAGCTGAGGGGCGCTACAGATAATACACCAAATGATGCAAGACCCACCTTGAAAGACACAGGGTTCTCTTATTAAAGTGGCAGCAGCCTGGTTTCAAGGGCAGAAGTCCCTTTGGCAAGGTGACGAGAGATTTTTCTACCCTAGCAGAGACCAAATCCAGCAGATGTCCCCGTTCTTCCCGAAGTTTCTTGGTCAGTACTCGAAGCTTCTTGCAAAGCTGCAGACCTACTTGTACTCAGCGGCTCACCAGAGGCCCCTCCCGCTTGCAGCATCCACTGGCTCCCAGGCTCCCAGGGACAAGGAAGGAGAGAAACCCCTCTTGGCCCACAGCCTGGACACAGCTCCATCGGTCCCACTGCCACTCATCCAGGCCAACATGAGCCCCCCAGCCCTTTGGGACAAGCAGTGTGAGCAGGATAGGGCCAAGACTGTGTGATGATGGTTAAGAGCCCAGAACTGTGGGTTTGAGTCCTGGCTTGACTGTTCACAAGCTCTGTGACCTGGAAAATCATTTAACCATCCTGTGCCTCAGTTTCCCAAATGGAAAAGAGTGGTGGTAATGATTGTACCTACTTCCTAGAGATGAGAGGAATAATGATTATTAAGTACAAATGGCACAGAGTGTGCACTAAGTGATAGCTGCTGTTGTTCTTAATTCATATTATTATTGAGTACAAATCCAGTCCCCAGGAGGCACAGGCTTAATACAGTATTCCACAGGGCTTTATGACGGGCAGAATGACAGTTCTAGAGAAAACCTCTGCTTCTGTCCCTGAGCCTCACTGCAGACTGACCCCTGACCACAGTCACAGAGGTTATCTCTAGCACAGGGTGCATTATAAACTTTGAACTTGCACTTGAATGCCTTCCAGACCCGGTGGGCATTCCCTGGCTCTCCATAGACCCCACCACTCTCTATTGTTTACATGTGGATGCCTCTTATCTAGTTGTTTCCTGACTGGCCCCAGAAGGCGAGGTCCTCATAGCTTTAGTCTCATAGCTCTAATCTCCTACCTAGAGGTAAAACTCCAGGTCCCAGCCACCACCTCATCCCCTGCCTTGGCCAACATCTGAGCTCCTGGCCCTGACACCACGATTATTCCCTAGCCCTGGCCCCGTGGCCTTGACCGCTCACATGTCTGCTGACCCAGATGTCCTTCCTCGGAGTCTTCCAAGAGACTGAGATGCCCACTCCCACACAAAGACTAGTCCGAAGACCTAGAGCTGGCCCAGACCTTCCAGAAAGTCTCAGTGTGGCTCACATGTCCCCGACCTGGAGTGCCCCGGGCTTGAGCTCTTTGGGGCAGCTGTGCCAGGTGTGGGCAGAGGCCCAGCCCTAGCTGCTCTGGCTGAAAACCCAGCCCTGTGCTTTGGCAGCCTGAAAACAGGGCCAGCATCACCCGCTGAGAGCACTGGGCCCCTGCCCTTCTGGAAGTGTGTTGCCAGGGCAACAATGCTTTGAGTGACAGGCAGGTAAACGCAAGAGTACAGGAAGATCCGACTGTTTGCCCCTCATGAACAGAGCTGGCCCTGAGACCTCTAGAATCTTGATGTGGCTGAAGGAAGCATCTCTGTGTGTGCTACCTTCTCCCTATCCGAGAGCCCAGGGTTAGTTGCTAGGGACACCTTAGCCTGGACACAGATGGGCAGAGCCCTGACCCCACCCTCTCTGGCCCCTCCTTGCTGCAGGCAGCCTTCCTCATTCCTGAGGCCAAAGCGGCTGCAGCAGGAGCCTGGAAGCCTGCCCTCCCGCCCGCTCCCTGCCCAGCCGCTGCCTCTGTCCTGGTTCAGCTCTTCCATGAATTCATGAAAAATTCATCCACCCAAACCTCAGCTCACACACTGCGAAAACACGCCCAACTCATTCCCGGGGCCCTGCTTTTGAAGGTTCAGTGTTCTTTTGGCTGCTGAAGTGAGCAGTCATGTCAGTATGCACATCAGCACGTGTGTGGGTATGGGACCGTATGCACGGGTGTCTGGATATGGGTGTCTGGTTACGGGTGTATGTGTGCCGTGTGCACATCATGACCCACATAGACTCAGTGGCCAGGCAGGCGGACTGTGGTCTCCAGCAACTGGAGAGAAGGAAGGCCGGGATGTGGGCTGGGAGAACCATCCCAGGCCAGGGACCACTCCAGGCTGCCCCCTGCAGCGAGGGCAGGACACCCAGTACTCTGTCCTGGTTTTAACAGGCAGAACCAAGGCCTTGGGTCCAGGGTCCTTGGCTTCTTTGTCCGAGCAGGGCTAGACAGACAGAATATTTGAGAATGTGGCATGTTTGTGCCAGTGGCATGGTGTGCACATCTGTGCACATTCTGTGTGGATAGTGTATGTACATGTGTGTGGATAGCACCTAAGTCAGAAAGGAGAGTGGGAACATAGTTGTTAGGCAGATGACCCCTGGATCCTCCCCCAAAGGCCCCTTTCTAACGCCACAGGTCCTGTCTCAGGGAGAAGCTTAGCACGGGGCCCGACTCTCACGTCGGTATAAGTGATCGGAGACAAACTAGACTAAGAGCCCTGGCAACGAAAAGTCAGAAAGGTTACTTTTCTGGACCTCCGTTTCCTGTGACTTGTTGAAGAGAAATATTACCCCTGCTCCTTTAGCCGTGCTCCCAAAGCAATAGGAGAGCGTGAAGTTATGAAATTGAGGGCACCTTCACCGAGCAATCGATTAGCAGCCCAGAGAGCTTGTGAATTGGCTGTCTGGACATTTGCAGTAATAAATTGTGAAATAGTCCATGAATAAGTAGTTGGCGGAGTTCAGAATTACCCCCTAGGAAATGTTGAGGTCTAGAGACACATTACCAAGGCGAGCACCATTTTAATGCTCTGGGCTTTGGCTGTTAAATATGTATGCCATCCGCAAAGCACTTCCCAAAATTAATGGCATTTTACAGCTGCTCCGAAGGCAGCGTATTTATATGGAGATATATAGATTGGGGGCTGTGGTGGCTTCACAAATGAAGTGCTAATTTTAGAGGATAGGGCAGGGAGGGGCAGGCGTGGAGAGAGGGTCAGGAAGTGAGCTACCTGGGGCCTTTCCCAAAATGGATTTCCGCTGCCAGCTATGATTTTTAACTTTCGGTGACATTGGGCATGCTCTCTAGGCTAGAAAGGTCACTGTGGTAACCGGCCACCCAGTACACAGACAGAAGGTAATAATTATATTAACAACTAGAGGCCAGATGCACGAAACTTGTGCAGGGGGCTTGACTCTCACAGCCTCGGAGGCTTGCCTTGGCCCTCGCAGCCCTGGCTTCATCTGGAAGGTCGTCCAGAAGGACGTTCGGCTGCTTGGTTCATTAGCATATTATGCTTTTATTATTATAGATAAAAATAATAATGGCAGCTTCCATTTGCCAGGCACTGTCCTAAGTGCTTTTCATAGTTTGACTCCTTTAATCCTCATTACAACCTGATACAGTAGGTTCTACTGTTATCCCCATTTTACAGAAGGAGGTGCATAGTGCCTGGGAATCTAGTGTGGTTGGTGACCCCCTGGGAAAAATGGCACTTTCTCTTCAGTTGTTTTCTGGGGCCAACAGTAGGGCCACCAGGTACGTGGGCCAGTTTGTTCACTGCGCAAGAGCATCTGACCAGAAGGATAAGTTGGGCCTGAAACCGGCCCCACCCCCATGCCAGGGTTCCAGACAGCACCTTCCCTGAGACTGATTAGCACAAAAGGTGACGTGTGCACTAGCCAACGTCGCCTTTCCTCCAGGTAGCCCCAGCACCGTCTCCCGTACCTGCACCTTCTCCACACCCCTGGATTTCGTTCTCCAATCTTGTGGTCTGCCCACTTCGTTGGAGTGTGGAGACAGACAGCACCGAGGTTGAGCGTGGCGCCTCGCCAAAGGACCCAGCTTCCACCGGATTAGACTGAGAAGTAGTTTTCTCAGAATCCCTGGAGAGACAGGAACCTCTTGGGGACTCAGACACTCCCCAGCTCTTTCTCTGAAGCATCCCAAAGGACTCTTGAAATCTAGAGTAAATCAGTCACGGGGTGGGGTGGGGTTTGAAAGGCAGTGTGGCCGGGAACCCAGGCCAGAGGATCAAGCCCACCTGTAACAGCGGAGCCTGGCAAGAGGTTGCTGGTGGGTTTCTGCACCCAAGGGCCTCCGATGAGGGTCTTTGCCTGAGCCTTTCATTGCTGACCCCACTCCAGAGGCCCACATGTCAGAGGCATGGCCACACCAGTTGAGAGAATAATGAGATACCTGCATATCACGTGTGTGCCCTTCTTGTGGGCTTGTGTTCATAAGTTTTTTCAATACAAATGCATTCTTTCAGCTAGTGGGCTAGTGAGGAATATCACCCATCAGCTGAAGGTTTGGGGCACTCCGACATTTGGGGGTGCCGAGATGGCTTTGGAGAAGGTTAAGGCTTAGAAAGAAGCTGGAAGATTGGAACGGAATCCCATCAGACTGCAGTTCAACTCCTGGGCAACCTTGGGCAACTTATTGACCTTCTCTGGGCCTCAGTTTCCTTATCTATCAAATGCGGACACTGTCATCTACCTTGTAAGATTGTGAGGCTTAAATCAAACAGCCTGAGAAAGAGTTGAAATTAGTGCGTGGTGTATGTACAGGAGGAAGATTGAGACATGTTGAGTTTGCTAAGCGTTCAGCTTATTCACCACAGACTCCGGATGGAGATGTGTAAGTGAAGCTGGGCAGGTGGGACCAGCAGAAACAAACTTGCATGGAAGACTGGACTCTGGGACACTGTATGGTCCTGGATTCCGACACGTCAGATCCCACAGTTCCTCACTCTGTGTCTCTCAGACTGGATGAGGTCAATAGCTACTTCCCACTATTTTCCCTGCCTCTTCTCCCTGTTATTCTTGGCAGGGCTGCCAAGGGGTTGTTTCTAAGTGAGAAACCAGAGCCATGCCCTGTTCAAAGCCCTTCACTGACTCCCCATCACCAGGGAGGGAGGGAGCCTGACATGGGACAGCTTGTCACCTGTGCTCTGGCCCCATAGCTACCTTCCGAGGACCCCTGCCCTCCGGGGAGAGACCCCTTGGGACTCAGGGCCTCTGACACGATGCGGTGGCTAAGAGCTCAGGCTCTGCGGTTGCACCAACCTGAGTTCAGGTCCTCTCTCTAGAGGACGGCTGAGCTCACCTATCACTCATCCTAGTGAATTCACCTTCTGCACCTATAAAACAGGATTGTGAGTACCGACTCCAAAAGGTTGAAATCAAGGTTAAATGAGGCAATATCAGCTACTGCCTTTTGAGCCTCCTGCTCTGCTGGGCCCCCTCCTAGGCCCTCCACCAACACTATCTCATTTGTTGATTTACGAGTGCCCCACACGTCAACAAACAAATGCAAGCTATCGCGGTTATCAGGAGTCACTCACCTGGCAGACCCGGACTCTGGGGACTGAGATCCTTGGAAAGAGAGCGGTATCAGGGAGCATGTAGATCTAATCTTTTAAATGGGAGCTGGGAGAGACAGCAGGGGAGATGCCTGATGACAGCAGTGTGCACACTTGAGCCAGCGTCAGAATCCCCAGAGGGCTTCTTACAACATAGGTCGCCAGCCCCGGCCCCGCCCCGAGTGTCTGGGTCAGTGGTCTGGGTGGGGCCTGTGAATGTGTAATTCTGAGAAGCTCCCAGGTGATGGTGATGCTGCTGGTCTAGGGACCACACTCGGAACCACTGGCCTGTGTTGTGGGAGACAGAGCGTGTGACCCACAACCAGACAGTTTGGAGTTCAAATACCTAGTCCACTGCTTCCTAGCTCTGCAACCATTGGACAGTTAATCAGTAAATACCACCTGAGCCCCCTCGTCTTGCCAGGGATACCCGTAGGTGGCCATCCGGAAGGCACAACATCGGCTCTCAGGAAATGTCCTTTTCCTCCCTGACTTAGCAGGCCTCCATCTAAGCCGCCCAGAGGAATCTGTTAAAACACAGGAGCAGAGGTTTCAGCCCAAGCTCTCCAGCCCCAGCAGCCGGCCTCCCCCAACCCACTCAGCCTTCCTCAGCTCCTCTCCTGTCTGCCCTGCAGGAGGAGCCCTTTGTCATGTTCCGGAAGTCTGACAGGACCCTGTTTGGGAATGACCGGTTCGAGGGCTACTGCATTGACCTGCTCAAGGAACTGGCCCACATCCTGGGCTTCTCCTACGAGATCCGGCTGGTGGAGGACGGCAAGTACGGGGCGCAGGACGACAAGGGCCAGTGGAACGGCATGATCAAGGAGCTCATTGACCATGTAAGTGGGGCTGAGGACCCCTGGAAGGCTTGGCCAAGTCCCGTTGGCACATCAGGGTGGGGCATCTGGCAGACGAGGGCCCTGGGGGCAGGAGAGATGGAGTCACAGGCTGTGGGGAGGGAGGAGTGAGGAACTCCCTCTGGCCTGCCTTGTTCATGCTCCCAACTCCCAGATACTCCCCTCCATGTAAGCACACACACACCAGCCCATCCCACTCAGAGCCATTCCCACCAGAGTCTTTGATGAGCTGCCTTCTGTTCCTTTAAGAGCTACCAAAGGATGTCCCAGCCATGTGGGTGAGCTGGCATGCAGAGCACCTCCCCAAACCCTGGATGCCGAGACAGATCCTTCACTGTCCTGAGTGACTTTGGGTCCAGTGGGCAGACGGGTGGTCCAGGAAGCCAAGGACTGGGATGAAGGGATGAGCAAGGCTCAGCTGGGAGGTACCAAGGAGTCAGATTCATACTCAGTCTGAGATGGGAGAGGACCCAGGGGAACAAGGAGCAGCAGCAACAGACGGAACTTTTGAGAGAGGAGTGAGCAGGTGGTGGGAGGGCACTGGGTTTGTGGGACACTGGGGGGAAGATGAAGAAAATACAGTTTAGGGGCACCACAGTCAGGGGAGTCAGGAGGCCCTCAGTTCAAATCCCGTTTCTTCATTCGTTGGCTATATAAACAGGAATGTCACTGGACTTCTCCAGTGGCTTCCTTCTCTGTCAATAGGTGTAATCCTCCCTCCTCATAGAATTGTTGATACAGGGCATGAAGTACTAGGTGCAGGGCCTGCCCACAGCCAGCCCTCAGCACACACATCGCCATGGTTAGGAGCCCAGGCTGTGGACCTCTGGGCCAAGGTTCAAGTCCTGGCTTTACCAGTTGATAGATGAGCAACAGGTAAGTTCATCAACATCACTGAGCCTCAATTTGTTCACTTCCTAAAGGGAGTAATCAGTAACTACCGTAGCTCCTACAGTTGTTGCGGCAATAAATGAGGCACCACTTATACAGGCTCACCTGGCACATACATCACCTGCCTTCCAGCTCAGGGCCCTCCACTCTCCAGAAGCGTTCTCGATCAAAGGCCTGCTAAGGAAGGCAAGAACCTGACCTGTACTAAACCCCTTGTGTTCCTTCTCTCCTTTATCCTGACATGGCAGTGAGGTAGGGACTGTTGCCACCATCCCTGGTACAGACCGGGAAGCTGAGGCAGAGGGAGGTGAAGGCCCCACAGTAACCCGTCTTTGGAGGCCCTCCACCTCCGAAGCCCTGTGCTCTGACCTCTGCAGAGAGCCGGGGCAGAGAGAGGCTCATGCAGTTGGTCTTTGCAACGTGAAAAGTACCAGCCAAAGGGATTCTTCTCACTGTGCCTCTCAGGGCAGGGCAGGCAGCAACAGGGCCTCATTAGTCTTCCTGCACCTGTTGGAGGGGCTGCCACATGGGGACCTTGGAGGTTGGAGCAGGGCGGGAGGATGTGGGTTGGGGCTGGAGCTCAGAGCAAGAAGGCTCTGGCAGAGCGTGACCATTTCCTGGGCCCCAGGAAGTAACCCCCAGGGAAGGCCTGATGGGAGAGGCTAATGGTAGAGAACATGAACTCCACTGGGCTTGATTCCCACTCTGCCACTTATTAGCTGTGTGTTCCTGGACAAGTTCCTTAACCTCTCTGTGCCTCAGTTTCCTCCTCTGTACAATGGGAGTGATAATAATAGAACCTCCCGCCAGAAGGCTGCTGTGAGGACCAAGTTCACACATAGTTGGCACTGTGTCAGTACTTGCTCTTATTTTTTTTATTTTTTTTTTTACTGAGGCTGGGGAGGGGGCTTCAGGAAGTCCCATGATCTCCCTGAGCTCATGACCTAACTCACTGAGAGTAACCTTACCTGCCCTGCCTTCTTCCCAGCTGGTTGTGCTGCTCCTCAGAGACAACTGCCAGGGAAGCAGCTCCCGGGTTGTGGAATTCAGTCTAAACGGAAGGGTGTGGTGTTGTCACCTTTGTTAGTAATAACTAATTATTATGGAAATTAGTCAGCAGGGCCCAGAGGCATCTCCATTGTGGAGCCCCATACACTTGTGAGCAGGGCTGCGGAGTGGGGGGCTTCCACTGGTTCCGAGCCTGCTGTTTGCAGAGGTGAGCTGGGCAGGGGAGGAAGTCAGATCACATGGAGGGGAAGCCACATGCGGAAGCGAGCAGGGCAGAGGCCGGTCTTGTCACCACAATCTCCAGCAGTCAGAGAGCTCTGAAGAGCTGTTTGCAAGCGGGTGGGTCAGAAAATCCCGCAGCAGCCAGACCTTCCCAAGTTGACCCTTGGCTGGAGAAAGAAGGAGGCCTCATCCATGGCCCCCGGGCAGCCCCGTCTCCATAGAGGCCATAGGCTCTGATGGGACATGCAGGTGACCTTGTTAAACCAGAGTCCCTACAACTGATGAGTCCATTAATCCTAGCTTGGTGCCAATTTTAATATCACCATAACCATTTATTAGTGTCGTCAGATAATTAGTCTTCTCAGTAGCTCATAGAAAACGTGGTAAAGGCTCGGCAATATTATTACTTTCTTATTAGGGATCTGATCGTAGACGTAAAAATGATGAATGCTAACTTTGCAAGGATCTGCCCCAGAGGCCCATTCCGAGGCCCTGGGTGGAGCCTCCGACCAGCAGGACTTAAGAAGTCCTTCCCTGACACCCTGCTCACCTCTGCCCCATGCCACATGGCCTCCCAGGAGCCAGGGTTGTGGAGGAAGATGGGGCACCTGGAGAGTGCCCCCAAACACACTCGCCTTCCCCCAAACCACCTCCAACTCTGGGATCAACAAATGCGATCACCCCATCCATCACTCCATCTCTCTCTCTCCCTCTCTCTCTCTCATCATCATCATCATCATCATCATCATCACTGGTGTCAGGACACGACCCCATCACCCATTATTATGTCTTCTACCTTGAAACCAGGAACCGGATCCAAGTCCTGGCCCGCATGCATTGGTGTTGGAAGGGTTCTCAAACCCCTGTTTGTGTGGCCAGGAAAGGCTCTGCCAAGCCTCCTCCTTCAGGCTGGGGCAATGCACTTTGAAGCAAGGCATGCTGGGAGCTCACCTGGGGCAGGTCAGAATCCTGAATGGGACAGGGCATTTGAGGGTAGGGAATATGGATGGACTGCAAAGGTGGACTCTTATTGGCAGCCAGATTGATCAGAGCTCTGGAGAAGCTGAGGATCTGCCTGAGGATGACCAGTAAGCAGGTGAGGAATTCAGGAAGGCCTTGGCCGCATTGAGGTTCACCAAAGAACTGTCAGCTGCTAGAGACCAGCCTGGGAAAGGCCTGAAAAGAGCCTGGCAGGGGTGAAGGTTCAGACAACCAAGTTCAAGAAAAGACAAGGTGCAAGGTAGCAATAGAGCTTCAGGGGTGAAGGAGGTATTGGAGGGAAACTGAGGTCAGAGAGAGCCCCCAGACCACGCTTACACTCCTGAGGCTCATCTGTCCCTTCATTCATTCCACAAAACTTCGAGGAGCAAAGTCTCAGCCTGGGCTCCTAGAGGGCAGAGCTGGAGGCATAGGCTCAGATGCCACTGCTTAGTAACGGGGTGTGATGTGGGCAGAGAGTGACAGGCAGGAAAGTGGAGCAGGAGGGAGGGGAAGCCAATATGAGGACACATTACTGAGCCATTGCCACTGAGTACAACTAATGGCTAGATCCACAAGTCTGCGCCCCAGAAAAGCCTTGCAAAATGTGTCTCAGGACCATCTCTTGGAGTGAGGGGAACAGGCTTATTAACTGACTCCTGACTCCCATGCATTTCTGGGCTTGGCATGGAGGCATGGGAGCCAATCGGGACCCTACAGCAGTGTCCCTGGGAAGTCATGGGGACAAGAAGGGCCCAGGTGGCAGGAGGTGAGATGCTGTCAGCTTGCACCTGTGTGAGGTTAGTCACAGCAGGAAGGTCTGTTCCAAGCACCCGTGCCATACCAGACCTGGACGGTGACTAGAGATGCGGGAGTAACTGAATCAATGGAACATGCTGACCTTCTGCCAGGACTCAGGAATCAGCCATTCTCCGAGGCCTGGGAAAGACACAGGCTTCATTCCTCACCATCAGGAATCCAGGAGGTCTGTGTGTTAACCGCAGGCAATGACCCCTCGGTCAACACTTAGGAATTTTCTAGCACCTGTACCCATCTCTTTAGATATATATGGGCTGTTCCGAAGTTGTCAGTGGCTACAGTGCTGATGGGTAAGTGTGGTGATTGGCTGGTGGGTCATCAGCAGACACCACCTGTGATTCAGTGTCCCCACCCCCGAAAACTGCCATGTGGCAGACCATGCAGTAAGCTCCTAAACCTCCAGTGTTCCCATTGATCAAGTTATTCATTTATTCAATAAATTTATTAAGTTAGGTCTCATGCCAGGTGCTGTGAATACACAGCAGTGCCGGGAGCCAGTCCATCCTTGCTGTTTCAAGAGACCTGGCATATATGGCATACTGTTCTTAATATGTTTGCTCACCTTCTTGGCGCTGTGTTTTAACCAAGGTCACCTCTCTGAGAAAGGTTGTTTCCCCAGGTAGGGATTTCCCCCTGAAGTTAGGGAGGGAATAAAACCCCTTAACTAAGGGCCAGGCGGGTAATTAATCACTTTAACTATGAACAATCATGCTTAAGCTACATAATCTTTACTCCCTGGAATGGAGATAAGAAACGCCCTAACCTTTGGAATAGAGATTGTGACACTCTAGTGGAGGAAACAGATAATAATCCATGAACATGTGGAGAGATGCAACTATTAAGCCAGAGTAAGTGTTCTGAGAGAGGAACATGGTCAAGTGAGAGAGACACGGGCAGGAGGGGTCAACAAATCACCCTCAGGACCAATGAATGTGTTGAAAAGTCAGAGTTTGAAGGTTATTCAAGGATGTGATTACTATAAATATGAAAGCAAAGACCTTGGACCTTCTTTGAGCCTTAGTTTCCCCTCCATAAAAAATTTGGGGTTGGAGTAGATATTCTCGAAGTTCTCCTGTCCAGCTCTGACATCCTATGGTTTTATGAATCATCCTCAAAGAAAACGTGCATGAGTGGGAGGAACCTGCCAAGATTGGGCCTTTCATTCTGCGTAATGAACTGAAACGGCAAAGGCTTGACATCTGCTCTGCTCTTTCAGGAGAACTTGAACAAAATAATGCCTTTTTCAGGGGAAAAGCACAAATGGTGAAATGTAGTGTTTCTCGCCTTAAACAAAACTGAAGTGGAGAACACCGGCCTTCTTGAAGCTAAAAGGAGAACACTCATTAGAATTCCCCATGAAGAAGGTCAGGTTGACCAGTTGTCTTGCTGCTGTAGGCAAAGAATACCAAAGATGTCCCCACTCCTTAACCCCATTATAGCAGAAAGGAGAAAGGCTGGTGGGGACAATCTGATTGGTTCTTGAGGAAGAAAGAGGGCCTGTGGCCCTATGATTGGCTTCCTTGTCAATCCTGAAAAATTTCTAGTCGATGGAACAAGCCCTGGCTGCAAACACCTTGATCCCCCCAGTAACTAATGCTCTCATTCAACTTGCCGCCAAAAGCCAAAGGAACATTTGCCTCCATTGACCTTCAAGTTCTTCCCAAGAATCCACTGCAAGCACCAGGGGCCAGTCCCAGAGAGCAGTTCCAAATGCATTCTGAACAATGGTGATGACTTTGGGTTCATAACAGAGCCTCCCCAAAAGCATTGTGTTTTGAAGGGAAAAGTTTCGGGGAGGCCAACTTTGAGAATCAAAAGCCCACTTCAACCCTGTTATGCCAACATTATAGAGGATCCTAGAACTTCAAGATTAAAAGGGACTCTCTAGGGTGCCAGGCTCCATTCCCACCCTACTCAGAGTCCTATCCTCATGCCCCAAAAGGGTCTCCCTCTACCAGAAGCTCCATAAGAGCAGGGGCTGGGTCTCTTGCTCACCTCTGCATGCCAGGCTGGTGCACAGTAGGTCTTGAGCAAATACATATCAGTCCCTCTGCACCATCCCAGATAGCTCTCTCTTTTGTTGTGCTCCTCAACTGAGAGGGCTCCAGGGAACTGGGGTGCCTGTTTCTTCTTATCTCTGCCTTAAGAGCTAAGCAAGTTCTTAGCCCACACACTCAGAAATGTACAAAAGAAATGTCCTGTGTAAGCAATCCTTTGTAATAGGCTCCTCCTCCCTAGCTTTCCCAGGTTCTGAGGTTCATTGAATCCTTGTGCTCCAAGTGTCAATAGTTGGGTGTGAGGATGCTGTTAGAAGGAGAAATACTGGAGTAAGCAACATCATGAAGCGTTTCCCACCGTCCCCAGACTTGGACATGCGCAGAAACATTTAGAAGCTGGGGTTCCACCCATATTAGTCCTCTCCTCTTTGCAGTCTGATTTCAACTTGGTTCCTGGTTTCTATTCTAGGATTAGTGAAGTCAGAGATAGTTGTTAACAGCTGCCATTTAGTAAACAATTTGATTAGTGTCTACTTCCCTCTCTGCCTGTATTCCCCAATGCTTGGTGGATCTGATAAATAATGGATGGATGGATGGATGAATCTGGACCAAGCCAGTGGTTAGCTGCCTAGGGGCATTGCCTTGGGACAGAGTCTCAGAGGTATCCTCCTGTCAGCTTAGCAAAAGGGTCTTTAGTGCTGGTCTTTAGGACCCCAGCCTCCCTTTCTGTCCTGCCCCATCAGAGGAAGGAAAGTGATAAGTTGGTTCACATTCTAATGTGTAAATATCCACAGGGACCTAAGGAGTAACCCCTCAGAGGGAAACATTATTAATTAACAAATAGTACAGAGGCTGAGATGGGGATTAAAAATTGAGAAGTGGAAAAAGTGTATCAGCTACAGTCCCAACTGTGCTTAGAAACTCACAGGTAAATAAGCAGATAAGACAAAAAGTCACATGGCCACACATCCTGCTATTCAAACTGAGTAGGCTAGGATCTTACCACAGGACAGAGCAAAACTCGTGGGAGTTTAGAATTGGAGGCTATCAGGGAGGGCTTCTTGGAAGAGGGAGCATGTGCAAAGGGATATGGAAAGTGGTAAAAGGCCGCAGGAGAGGGCCTTCTCGACAAGGCACAGTGTATGTGCAAAGCATAGATGTGGTCAACAGGAAGCAATTAAATGGGGCCTCATTTAGAAATAGAGCAGTGGGGTAAGGCTGGACAGAAAGGAATAAAGGATTATAGACTTTTAATTAGGAAAAGCTCAGACCCAAAAAATAGAGCTTTAGTTATTTCCTTCAATAAAATTGTGATGGGCTAAGATTTATCAATATCTGAGCATTTCTAGCCTCCCCTCCCTCCCCCCTCCTTTCTTTCTCTGCTCTCATCCCTCCCCTCCCTAATTAAAGGGGGCTCTGGATTTGCCTGTTTATTTTGTTTCCTACCTTCCCCCTCCAAAGAAGGTCCTGTTTTTGCCTAACTGGTTTGGGGGACTTTTAGAATATATGGAATATCTAGAGTGTTGTGAAGCGATCAAGAAGTGGGCAGGAACCTTGGCCATTGGTGCTCAGTGGTTGGAGCATCAGTCCTCACACCAAAGGGTCGTGGGTTTAATACCCATCTAAGGCATGTACCTGCATTGCAAGTTCAATCCCCAGCCCCAGCCAGGGCATGTGCCAGAGGGAACCAATCAATGTGTCTCTTTCACATCAATGTTTCCCTCTCTCTCCCGCTTCAACCCTCCCTCCCTCCCTTCCTTCCACTCTCCCTAAAACTTCAACCTTCCCTTCCTCCCTCCCTCCCTTCCACTCTGCCTAAAAATCAGTGGATAAAATATCCTTGGGTGAGAATTAACCAAAAGAAAAAGAGTGGATAGGAGAGGAAAACATTTAGACAAGGGTTGTTGTGGATTTCGTGTCCTCTCCATGATGTTTGAAAGTCACAAATAAGGAACATGAGTGATCTTTAAATGTTTTTAGGTATGAACTGTATTTATTTGACAAAGCGCCGTTTTCAGACTAGAGCACATGGTTATTGCTTTGATAGGGCTCCATTCTCTGCACGTTTATGCCGCTGTCCTTTTCCTCAAGGTCATGAGCTCTCGGAGAACAGGGTTAAGTTTAGCATTGTCTCCCCAGCACCCTGAGAATGGCCTGGCCCAGCAGAAGGGTTCGCAAACATTGACACTAAAGAGTGGTTAAGTAATCCAGGACTTAGGCAACTGACTCCACTCCAAGGAGTGTTCTATCCCCTGTCAGTGAGAGGCGTTGTTCATTGTCTGTCTCTCTCTCTCTCACTGCAGAAGGCGGACCTGGCCGTGGCCCCCCTGACCATCACCCATGTGCGCGAGAAGGCCATTGACTTCTCCAAGCCCTTCATGACGCTCGGTGTCAGCATCCTCTATCGCAAGCCCAACGGCACCAACCCCAGTGTCTTCTCCTTCCTCAACCCCCTGTCCCCTGACATCTGGATGTATGTGCTGCTCGCCTACCTGGGTGTCAGCTGTGTCCTCTTTGTCATCGCCAGGTAAGGGCAATGCCATGGCCAGAGCTCTGGCCCGAGGTTGGAGGTTTAGGGAGCCACACACGTCTCCACTCATCTACTGCTAATGCATGCTCCTCTCTCCTCCCCTAAAGCTCAGATCCCTTTATGACCATCGGGGAATATGCCATGGCCCCCAAGCTTGAATCCCCCGTCCTTACCCTGCTCTGTGTGTATGACTCTGAGAAGCAGCTCTTACACCCCAGGCCCTATGAGCAGGCTTAGAGAGGCGAACTCACTGCTCTGAGCATGAATCATCTGGGCCAGGCACCCAGTCCTGCAGACCCAGGTGCATTGGGTGGCCCTGCAGGCGGCTTGACACTTGAAAAATAGGACTGTGTCCATTGAACCCACAACAGCAGGGGAAACAGTACCACACAGATGCACACGCATGCACTCATGCAGAAACATGCATGCTCACCTGTCTGTAAGACACACTAGCAACAACTTGCACATTTGGTTGTTCAAATGGAAGATGCTAGGACATCCTTGTGGTCGATGGTAGAAGGAGATAACAAGGGACGCGTTGAGCTCCGTGTTTACCGAGCATCTAGTGTTTGCCAAGCACCGTGCTCTGTCCGTTACAGCCATTATATTAGTTACTTCTCACAGCCTCTGAGGAAGAGGAGACATCTGAGGCTCAGAAAAGCTCATACTCGCCAAAGTCATCCCAGCAATAAGTGAACTCGGGTCCCCAAGTGTTTTATCTGTGACCCACATCTCTGGCCACCTGGACATCCGTCCTCTGCCTGGGCCCCAGCTCCCCTTCCCCTTTACAGCTGGGCCCTCTGGCCCCTCCCTCCAGACCCCAGCCCAGCCTCTGCCCTGCTTATTTTTTCTCTAAACCCTAACAAAGCACGAAGAGAGACTTCTCTGGAGAGGCAATTTGAGATCCAAGGACTTGGTGTTTCAGCCTTTTTTTCTCCTGGGACTTCTTTGAAAACCTTTCCCCCACCCCACTCCCTTCGCTCCCTCCTCCCACACCGAGAGAGACCAAAGGGAAAGATGGCGGGATGAGATTGTCCTCCCTCCAAGCCCTTTGCGGCCTGCCAGCCTGGGGCTGCCTGCCTGCTCAGCCCAGCCCTTGTCTCTCTAATGGTCTAACAAGCCTTTGAAGGCCAGGAGCCACTCTGCAGCTCTCGCCATCATTTTAGCGGCTCCCGGCTCCCGACTCCCGGGGCCTCTCAGCCCGCCATGCCCTGCTAAACAGCTCAGGTTTTCCAGCATCACTTCTGCCCTCGTGACATGCGGCCTCTCTCTCCCCCCCCTCCCCCTCCCCCTCCCATTCCTGGCCTTTCATCAGAGGTGGCTGGCAGCCAAGCCTGCTTCCCACCACATCCCTCCTGGCCAGGACAGTAGGAACTCCCTTCCCAAGGTTAGGCTGGGGAGACTTTTGGGGAGAGACGGGATTTCCGGAACTGCTGGAATGATGACACGGGACACATGAGGTGAGAAGGGAGGAGCGAGGGTCTTGGCCACGGAGCCACGGCAGCACCGTGGTACAACTGTCACACTGTGTAGCACTCACATAGCACAAGTCACATAACGCAACCTGTCGAAATCGTCACAACAGTCCTGTGAGGTGGGTATAATTATCCCCACTTTACAGAAGTAGGAACTGAGGCTCAGAGGGGTGAAGCCATTGCCCCAAGTCACAACGCTTTTTCTTGCAGAGTTAGGCTTCACATCATGGCCTTTCGGAGTTTAAATCGGGGGTGGCCAACGGAGGTGCCGGAGGGAGCAGGAAGGAAGCCTGAGAAAGTGAAGCAGGCCGAGTGGAGGGAAGCGGGAGCCATGGGATGGAAGCAAGCCAGAGGCACATGCCTGGCGAAGGGGCCGCTGCTACTCAGCTCCCACAGCTGTGCTCGGCGGGGTGCTGTGCGGCGCTGCCGGGCTCATGATTTTTAGAGAGATTCAGACTTCAATGTGACACCTCTTGGCTTTTATATGTAGCCACTCATTGGATTTTTTACAACACTGTCAGGGTCAAGCACCGCACATCTGTATGGGGCATGTGGCCCTCGGCCCCCTTCTCCGCATGGCCTGCGTCCTTTGGGCCACTGCATACTGGCTGCTGGAGAGCTGGACACAGCCGCCCAGAGCTGGGGCCTGTGAAGGTAGCCAGTTCCCAGATCCTCTCCACGGCATGTGGCTCAGCGCAGGGCTGTCTGCCTTGCAAATGGCCTGGCCTGGCTCATGCCTGCCTAGCACCAGGGTGTGAGCATTGATTAAGGCCTTTTCCTGCCAGCAGGATATTCTGCTTCAGGCCACACCAGCCATTCCAGCCCTTTGGGGACTTCCGCGGGGACTTCCGCAGGGTCACCAGCCATTCCAGCCCTTTGGGGACTTCCGCAGGGTCTCTCTCTCTCTCAAATGTTCTAGCTTCCCCCACCCTTCATTTCCTCCGCAGGAACTGGGGCCACACACACAGACGATGCCCCACCTGCCAGGACTTCTCCTCCTTAGAAGGCAGTGGGGGGCTTAAAGCCACCATGTCTCCCTGTCATACGTGCATTTGTATCTTCAGAGAAAAAAATCTGAAAAATTTGATAGCACATTATTCTCTCCTGGGGGGGAAGAGGGGGGATCCTGGAGTACTTTTACTGTCTCACTGTATTCTATGCTGTTTGGATACTTTATGAAGAATGTACTTTACTTTTGTTTTTGCTTTAAGTTTTTAAGTAATATATGAATAATTAAAAAATATAAATAAGTAACAACAATAGTAATAAATAATGATAAATGAATAAATAATATTACAAATCATTTAAAAGCCCATTCTCATCTTTAAAAATTTATATTATACGCCTGACCAGAGTGGCTCACTTGGTTGAGCTCTGTCCTGTACACCAAAAGGTTGCTGGTTTGACACCCAGGCAGGGCATAAGGCCAGGTTCCAGGTTTGATCACCAGTCGGGGCACCTCTGGAAGGCAGCCTATCAATGTTTCTCTCTCTCTCTCTCTCCCCCTCCCTTTCCCCTCCCTCCCATCCTCTCTCTAAGCATGTCCTCAGGTGAGGATTAAAAAAATAAAAATTCATATAATACATGTAGAGCAAAAGGCTTCCCTAAAATTCCTCTGCCACTCTGACTTCCCTCCCCAGAGGAACACACTGATACTTTTCAGAATTGGATTCTTCCAGATGTTTTATATGCATTTAAATACAAATGTACATAAAGAGGTAGATAGCTGTGTCTTGGGGAATCTATTTACATAAATGCCATCCTATTGTTCTTATTTTTATCACTGTTTTTTTAACCAAACATGTGTTGAAGATCTTTCCCCGTCGGTACATCTAGAAGTATCGCGTTCCCCCCATCAGCCGCATGATGTTTCAGAGCACGGTGTGGCACAGTTGATTTCATCGTTCCTCTGTTGAAGGACATTTCCGTTGTTTCCCGTTTTTTTGCTATTACAAGCAGTGCTTTGATAAACACCTCCGTGCGCTGCTCTTTACGCTCGTGTGGTCGTGTTTTTTCTAGGATGGATAATGAGTCGCAGAATTGCTAGGTTGAAGGGCCTGTGCACTTTTAATTTTAAGAGATGCTACTGAATTACTTTTATAACCAGCAAAAGCCACTAACCATAAAGAACGAAGCAAAACGGCCCTGATTTCCCATCCCGGCCTCCCCAGCAGAACAGTGAGGAAATGGATGCTCAAGTGGTCAGCACTTGGGTGTTCGCTAAACCACGGGCTGGTGTGACACGGACACCCCTCCCTCCCGTCGCCACCTTTCAGCTCAGCCTCACTGCTCCCCTGTCCTCCCTGCAGGTTCAGCCCTTACGAGTGGTACGATGCTCACCCCTGCAACCCTGGCTCCGAGGTGGTGGAAAACAACTTCACTCTGCTGAACAGCTTCTGGTTCGGAATGGGGTCCCTGATGCAGCAAGGTATGCGCCCCCTCCCCCGGGGAGGAGTCTCCACTCCCCAGGGGACCTCTCCTCCCTGGGTGTGTGGGGGGATGGGAGGGCTCCGCCTTTATGGAGTCAGCCCACCCTCCAGGACAGCCTCAGACCTGCTGAGCCATCACGGGGTTGGCAACAGCTGGACACCCAGGTGTGCCCTTGCCCCAGGGCCCCACCCTTCACCACTGCTATTTCTGGGCCAGCTCAGGCTCTAGGGTTAAAGCAGATAAGCTGCCCTCACCCATGTCATGCAGGGCTCATCCCCAGCTCCTCCTGCTCCAACTGAGGTTCTTACAGAGGCTGACCCACCGGCGGCCTCACCACCATAGCATCGGGCTGAACAAAGTTGGGCTGAGGAGGGGGAGAGTGGAGGCAGGGAGGCTGGCTGGGAGGCCATTGCAGGAAGGAGACGGTGAGATCTGAACTGGGGTGGTGGTCATGGGGGTAAAGACAGAGATGGACTAAGAGGATGTCAGGATGCAGCAGGAACAGGACTCCATGGCCGCCTGGCTGTGGGGGGTCTGGGAAGAGGAAGGGCATGTCTGAGGCTGGACTTTAGCCTGAGGCCATGAGAGGTGGGATACATGGAAGGACACCGGTCCTTCCATCCTCTCGAGGGAGGGCAGTGTACCTCGCCCTGGGCTGGTGGCCCACCCTTTGGAAACACGTGCAGCTGTTCCAGTATCTCAGAGAGCAGTGCGTCTGCTCCGGCTTTGAGGATGTAGGAAGAGACACCCTGGGCTGGAGGTGGCACCGGGAACCGGACCCCCAGCCAGGAAACACCCTCAGGGAGAACATGTGCCCATTGCTTCTGCCTGTCAGTCCAGAACCTCGTATCTCAGGAAATAGAGGAACCCAAACCTTTAGGGTCCCACGAAGGGACATCGGGTGACAAGGGAGCATGGCTCAGGGGGAGGAGGATCCCAAGAAAATGTCCTTGTCCCTCACTCATCCGTGTGTATCCTCAAGGCCCAGCACAAATCCTGGTCCTCAGTAGACATCCACCAGCAAACGCTGAATGGGTGGATGAATGAGTGAGTGAATGGTATTATCCCACTGGGTCCTGAGTGCCCACTACCTGCCAAGCCCTGTGCTGGGTGCTTGAATGAAGAAGGATGAGGAAAGATAAATACTGCGCCTGCCCCCCTCCCCGATGATGTCCCATCCATGACAGAGCCCAGGTAGGGACTTGGGCCTGGGTAGGGGTCCAACAGAGCCTGGCAAAGCTCATCAAGCAAACAACTAAGTCATTCTCGCCTTGGGGGCAGCTCTAACTCTTCAGGCTGGGGGAGAGCCAGGCAGGTGGGGCTGGGGGTACTGACTGGTGAGGAAGCTGAGGAGCCTTGTGGGAAGTGACAGGCAGCTCTCAAGGGAAGTGCCTCAAGCTGTCCCCGCTATTAATGAGTGTCCTGAAGCCTCACCTTGCTTCTGCGTCCATCATCTTTGCGCAGTGACAGTTGGGAAAGACCTGGAAACCCCTCAGAGCAGTAATAGCCTCTCTTCTTCGTCTCCTGCTGCTATTCAAAGCCCTGGCCCCTTGTGTATTCCCGCAAGGTTTTCATTAAGAGGGAGAAAAATCGTTGTGTATTTGAAAACCTCTCCCTTGAGTGATTTCTTTGATAAAAGAAAAAAAAAATCATCCATATCAAAGCAGATGCTTTTCAGGTTGCAGGTCCAGATATTCTGCAAAGTTCAGAAGTCACTTGCTATTTAAATCTCTTGAAAGCCGCCCAGTTAATTACTTCAGTTAGAAGGTTTCGTCTAAATTGTGCTCCACACCCAAGGTCAGGGAGGAAGAGTTATCTATTTCTGCAAAGAGCTTCAAAAAATGTTGATTTTCTCTTCCTGCAAAGCCCCGCATAGCAATCTTGTATTTGTATACCAATTGTATTTCCAACACAATTTCTCCTCAAATTATATCATCGCAGCGTCTCGGTATTTGTGTGGGGCTGGGAAGAGGAGGGACGATTCCTCATGCTTTGCAGAGTCCTGGAGAGGGGAGGTGTCTGGCACAAGATCATACGGAGAGCCAGGAGCAGAAATCACTCTAGAGCCCAGGGGTCCTGACTCCTCCCAAGTGTTCAGAACCGGGGGCCATCCAGGGTCCCGTGGACATGCATCAGAGGGTCTGGCAGGCCTGCGAAATGCTATGCATGTGCTTGTGGTTTTAGAGCAGCAGTTTTTAAATTTCAGCCTAATCAGAATCATCTGGAGGGCTCATCAAGCCCGCGTTATGGGGCACCACCACTTACTGGTTTAGTAAGTCCTGGGATGGGGCCTGAGATTGTGCAATGCTAATGAGTTCCCAGGTGATGCTGCTGCTGCTGGCCCAGGGCCCACAGTTTGAGAAAACTGGTCGAGGGTAAGGGCCTTGGCTTTCATGAGATCGTCAGGGGAGCCCATGACCCAGAAGACCCAAGCAGTCCCGGTCTGGACATTGTCAGAGACCACCTACCTCTTCCCTTCTCCCAGGGTCTGAACTGATGCCCAAAGCCCTGTCCACGCGCATCATCGGTGGCATCTGGTGGTTCTTCACGCTCATCATCATCTCCTCCTACACGGCCAACCTGGCCGCCTTTCTGACCGTGGAGCGCATGGAATCACCCATCGACTCTGCGGATGACCTGGCCAAGCAAACCAAAATCGAGTATGGAGCGGTCAAGGACGGGGCCACCATGACCTTCTTCAAGGTGAGACCTTCTCCCTCCCACTGCAGCACCTCAAGCTGGTCCTTTACTGGCCTTCCCTAAGTCCCTCCCTGTTGGGGATCATTAACTTTTGGGAGTTAAGGTGATGTGGCCACCTGGGTTGATTCCAACATAGATCCTAGAGGTTTCTAGGCCTGGGACAAGCCGTGTGAGTGTGCATTATTTCCTTAAATCATCAGAGGGCAGGTGGGGAGACGAGGCTGGAGGAGGAAGTGAGGCCAGGTGCAAAAACAGGCCCCAGGGCCAGTGGCTTCCTTGCCCTTGACTTTGGGTCTCAGTGGCATCCATCCATCTCCACGAGGCTGGCCTGGGCTTGGGGTGAGCACTTTACCACTTAGAGGGCAGCAGGGGGCACGTCCCCCTCTCTTCCTTGGAAGAGAGTGTTTACAAACATTCCTTAGCGTGTTACACTCTAAGAATCCTGTGTCCAGAAAAAGCCGCTGTCACCTGCTCAGGTTACTGCTCTTACAGGAATCTGGCCGTGACTTTGCTGCTCCTCCTGCTTTGTAAGGTGTTGGCTCAGTTCCCAATGTTTTGACACCTTCTGCTCAAGTAGCTGAGGGTCGACAGGCTGACCCTGAAAACCAGTAGCTGTAAATGTTATTCTGGAAATTAAAGTGATAATAACAGCTACCAGCACCGGGAGCTCACAGTGAGCCAGGCACTGTGCTAAATGGTTGCCTCGTGTAACCTCCATGACAAATCCTGTGAGTAGGTACTACTTCCACTCTACACATGTGGAAACGGAGGCTCAGAGTAGTTCAGTGACTTGTCCAAGGACTCACAGCTGAAGAAGCCAGATGCTGACCCAGGTCTGCCTTCCTCCAAGGCCCATGGTTTAGGCCATGGCTCTCAGACTTGGGTGTGCATCCAAATCACCGGGAAAGCTGGGCAAACCCAGGTTGCTGGGCCTCACTCTCAGAGTTTCTGGGTCAGTGGGCCAGGGTGGGGCCAAGAATGTGCATTCCTAACAAGTTCCCGGGTGATGCTGCTGGTCCAGGGATCACACTTTGAGAACCACTGTCCCAACTATTTCTCAGAAACAGTCAGGATTCGGAACTCTGGGGCTATAGGTCCATTTGTTCATTCATTTACATATTAGTCAACTGCTCTCGATCAGTCTGAAAGTCTGGGTTGTGTCCCTTTCCTCTGGGCCTTGGCTCCCAGCCCCAGCCCTTGCCTCCTTCCAGGCTGATCCTCTGAGTGATGGATTGAGCCTCCAATGGGGCCCGAGTGGGAGAGAAGAAGGGGTTGGTGGGAAAGCCTTCTGCCTCCTGGGCTCCAGAGCCCCACCAGGACTCTGTCCCCCGCTACTCCCTCAGACTGTCCTTGAGGATGAAAGCACCTGCTTAGTGAAGAGAAAAGAGGGAAGAGGCAGGAAAGGGGCTCCTGTCTCAGATGTTGCTACTGCTGCTGTGAGGCAGCAGGCGTGGCCTTCCTAGGAGGTCACTGCCATGTATTTAGAGTGAAGGAAAGAGGAAAGTGTGGTCATGGGCACATTAGGAGTTCTCTGGGACCCTATGTTTGCTCATGAGTGTGAGCAGTATGTGAGTATGTGTTACATGACTGTGTACATATAGAAATATATGATACATGTATGTGTGCACATTTGTGCCCATGCACAGTCTGTCTGTGTGGGAGTGTGTGTGTGTGTGTATGAACATGAGTATCTGCACATATGTATGTGTACTGGTGAGCATATGTGTATATGTATCTCTGTAACATGGGTGTGTGGATATGTGCTTATAAATGTCTACAAGTGGGTGCCAGGGTGTCTATATGTATATATGTGTGAAGAATATATGCATGTCCATCTGTTGAAATGTCCCCATGGGTGTGCCTAAATTAGTGTGAGTGGGGTGGATGTGCCTGTGTGTGTGTGATTGCTATGTGTTGTGTAATGGCCCATTCATGTGTGTGTAATAGCTTTTGTGTGCGTGGGATGGTTCCTGCATGTATGTGTGTCTACGTGTGTTTGTAATGATCCAGGTATGAGTCTGCATGTATGTGTGTGTGCATGTGGTGTGCCTGCTCGTGCCTATCCTCAGGCTGTGGCCCAGCCCTTTGACTGTGCCAGAGCATCTCTCATGCATTACTCATGAGCGCGTCTCCAAGCAGGGCTCCCGATCAAAGGGAAGCAGCATAAATAAGGCCGGTGCAGGCTCATTGCCGCTGATTGGATGTCCTTGCCTCCCTCCATTCTAAGATGCTCAGATTGGTTTCCCAGAGCCTAGTCCCAGCTCCCCACTGAGCCGCTGTCCCCGGCATCAAGCAGCACCTCCTGCAGCCTGCTCTGCCCTCACCCACCTTCTCGGCAAATGGCACAGTGAGGAGGCCAGTGGAGGGACTCAGATGCTGCCACCCAGCTGAGATGCTGGGGCTCAAGGGCCTGTCCTCATAAGGGCCTTCGGCCAGAAACAGCAGCTCCATGTCCCAAAGCAGGACCAGCTCCACTTCCTTACTCTCCTGATCCCCAATTAATTCCTCTTGAAGTCTGGCCTTCCTGTCTCCCGCTTTAATTCCAGGGACGCTCTCCTTGGCCCGGCTCCCTTTCATTGGCGGCAGCAGTGGGACTGCTATGTAGGCAGAGAGGATCTGAGTGTGCCTACATGAGCCCCGCCCCATACGGGAGCTGAAAGCACACAGCACCTCCCTGAAGATCCCTGGACAAACTTACTTCTCCCTGCCCCTCTTCCCTCCATGGTCATACCTCCCCCATCCCAGGCCAGGTTATGGCCTCATTGTCACTTCCACGTTAGAGCTGGAAGAAAACCTGAATTTAACCTAGAGAAGCGGAGGGGCTGGGTGATTGGCCCATGATCACACAGCAGATTGGTGATGGAGCTGGGACATAGGTCAGATATTCTGTCTGCACACGAAGCGCCCTCTCTCACACCCACTCTTGGGTCTTCTGGAGGGGTTGTCCCTCCCCTGCCCGTGTGTGTACATGGCCAGGTTGGCAGTGGGTTTGAACAGGGGTCAATGCCAGGAGTACGCACAGGATGTCTAGAAGACATTGGCAAAGTTAATGAGAATGGTAACATTTACTGAGCACTTACTAGGTGCCAGGCAATGTTCCAAGCACTTTGCCTGTACACGGTCCCTCCTTATTCACGGGAACACATTCCAAGACCCCCAGTGGATGTCTGAAAGCACAGATAGTCCGGAACCCTGTATGTACTCTGTGTTTTCCTAGACATGCATATCATTGACAGCTTCTCTTTAGCATATCCAAATTGGTAGCATCACTACGCGATTTGGAGCCATTATTAAGCAAAATAAGGGTTACTTAAACACAAGCACTGCCGCAGCGTGACAGTCGGTCTGATAACTGGGACGGCCACTACGTGACTAACGGTGGAGCATATGCAGCGTGCGTGTGCTGGACAGAGGGACGGCTCGTGTTCTGCACAGGACGGAGCAGGAGCGCTCGAGATTTCATCACCCTAGTCAGAACAATATGCAATTTAAAACGCATGCATCGCTTATGTATGGAGTTTTCCATTTAATACTTTAGGACCATGGTTGACCGTGGGTGACTGAAACCGCGGATAAGGGAGGACTATTGTATTTGCTCATATCGTTCTCCCATCAGTGGTAGAAGGTCATAACTGTTATTATCACCTCCATCTTGCACATGATGAAAGTAGCCTCAGAAAGTAACCTGAATTAACACTGACTTGCCCAGCATCAAGCTAGTGAAAGGCAGAGCTGGGATTTGAACCCAAGCCCGCTGGCTCTCGTGCCTGTGCTCTTTGTCACTGTGTCCATAGCACCTCCCTAAAGAGCCAGGCAGTCCAGGAGTCAGTTGGGCAAGAGTGAAGCCACAGTCAGTTGAGCCAGATCCCCAGCCTAGAACAGTGGCTCAATAATAAATGAGACTGTCTATCTGATAACCAAGTGTGTCTGTGTGTGTGTGTGTGTGTGTGTGTGTGTTCACGCGTGCCCTTGTTGAATTAAAGGATGGAATTAAAAGATGGCAGGAGCCGAGTGGGGCAAATGCAGGAGGCCTGTTGAGGACAGGAGCCAAGCAGGGGACACCCCTGAGTGTCCAGAGTCCACAGCAGATGAACATCCATGCTGAGGTTAACCTGTGTTCCTGCTTAGGCTGCAAACCACCTTAAAAAGCCCCTGAACTGAGAGTAGAACTCAGTGGGGAGAATCCATTCCTGTCCAAAGACAATGGCAGGAAGTGGGGTGTTGGGCTCTCTCGGGGGAGCTCCCCTCCCCCACCCTGCAGCCCAGGAGACGCATGGCTGGAGGCAGCCCCATCATTCCAAAGGAAACTTCATTTGAAGAGTTGTCAGGAACAGCGGACATCACAAACGGCGTCTCCTGTGTTGTCCTCCCTCCGTCTTGAAAGATGAAAATTAATTAGGAGATGAAACAGGAGGCCTTTGAAAGCACCGGTCGGCTGTAACACTATGTAGGCAAAATGTGAAGGAGAACGTTGAGGAAGCGGGCTCTTTGTGGGAGGGCTGGGCAGCTGTGAAGGGAGAAGCTATCAGAAGACAGCTTCTCCCAAGAGTGAGCCCTGTTTGGTTTTGGGTGGGGGAGGCACAGCACATGTGGGTGGGAGAGCCGCTTCAGAAAGGGATGGGAGCTGGGGGCCATGAGTTTCAGGCTCTCTGGGTCCCTGGCATTGCCAAGCCCTCCCCCTCGCACAGCCTTGCCCCGTCCCAGCACCCGAGCCTGGAAGGCACTTGGAGAGGCCATTCAACCCACCTCACCCCACCCCCTCAGCTGCTCTGCACTCTTCTGTGAGCTGGAGGGCTCAGGGGGCACCTCCGACCTCAGCTTCTGTTTCTCCCGCTGTGTCTGCTGGCCTCTCTGATGGTGCCTTCTCCCTGTTTTCCATCGACAGTGGGGTGGGAAGACCAAAATGCACTGACCCGGCAGAGCTTGGTGGGGTGCCCCTGGCACAGTCAAGTCGCCTCAGTCTTAAAGTAAGACAGACTGGAACTGGGGTCGTGGGTGTTGTC